AGCTCCAGGGCCTAAAGGTCCAGGATTGAAGGGACAGGATGGGAGTGGCTCCGCCCATCGTTACCCGAAGCTGGTGTGTGTGTGTGTGTGTGGCGGGGGTGGGGGTGAGTGGGGGGTGGGGTGGGGTGGAGATGTATTTGAGGGGTTGGGGATACCCTGGGAACTTTTGCTTCTCATCCTTCCCGGGACCTTACTTAAGCTGTTAGGGTCTGAGCTCCACCAGGGGGCGCCAGCGCAGCTCCAATGTCTCAGACGGGCTGGCGGTAGGGAGCAGGGATTTCTAGAGTGCAGGGGCTCAGTGAGGAGGAGAAAAAAGGCCACAAAATATCCCGAAGATATTTGCTATTTTGCAGCAATTACGACCATTGTATTTTAGACTATTACTCTGAGGAGGACAGACGCGCAAACGTTACCTCCGGAGTGGGTCTGTCTAGGTTTCTTTCAGCTTCTGTGTTTTCCTAATGTTTTCTACAATGAGTATGATTTATCTGTTATGTATTAGGAAGTGGTAAATGTTCTGCAGCTGACCAAAAGGTTGGGTTGTTTCCAAATCGCCTTAATGAAGTGGGTCACCTGCACTTGTTTGTTTCCAAGTGCACAGAAAAGTCCTGGTGTGGCACTGTGGGATCAGCACTGGATTGCGAGCCACCAGGTCAGCAGTTCAAACCCACCAGCTGCTTCTCAGAAACCCTATACAGGGTGGCTATGACCTGGAACCGACTCCACTCCACTAAACAACATAGTCTATTAACACAAGCCCTGGTGGCCTTGTAGGATAAGCAATGGACTTCTAGCTGCAGGATTGGCAGGTCAAACCCACCAGCCATTCCAAAGGAGAAAGTTGAGACTTTCTGCTGGGTAAAGATTGGAAGCCCTGTAGAGTCTCTACGAGGTGGGTAATCTATTAAAGGAAACCTGGTGGCGCTGTGAGTTAGGCGCTGCAGTTCAAACCCACCAGCTGCTCCTTGGGAGAAAGAGCTATCTGGTCCCATAGAGTGACGGTCTCAGAAATGCTACACAAAGTCTCTGTGAGTTGGAACTGATCCTACAGCAGTGGGCTTGGGTTTGGTCATTGTCTAGTAAGTGTGTGGTGTTGTTAAGAGCAGTGGAGTGGGTTCCTGTGCAGCGTTTCTGAGGAGCAGCCTTATGGAAAAACGGAAACATTGTGAGAACGACCAAATGTGACAAATAGGAGGTGAGCACACATACATCTGGAAAATCGACTTGCTCAATGCAGGGTTGTCACAAACCTTCAATGTGTAAAAAGTATAGTCTGTGTGGCGTAGCAGTTATGAATCGGGCTACTAACCTCAGGGTCAGCAGTTCAAAACTACCAGCTGTTCTGCAGGAGAACGATGAGGCTTTCTGCTCCTGTCAAGATTTCCAGCCTCGGAAACCCTGTGCAGGGTCGCTATGAGCGGGGACCGACTCCACGGCACATAACAACAACAGTCTGTCAAGTGCCGTGACAGCGTCAAGCCAGTCGCCTGTAGTTTTTTCCGTCTGCAGTGACTAAGTGCCACAGACTGGGTGGGAGACTGGGCTCAGGTCTCTTCACTCTTCTATTTGCTGCCTGGCATGTCACTCAACCACCAAAACTGCATCTTAGGAGACTGCCCATTAGGCATTTTTCAGGGTCTCTGTTTATTCCCCAGATACCACACAGCATCCAGTGTTGGTGGGCATTGATCCAACTCTACCCAGGTGCCCTCCAGCCCCGAACCCAGAGTGGGGCACCCACCTGGCCTGTTAGGGGTTTCAGGGAGCAGGGAGAATGTATGTGCAGAGAAATCCTGCATTCTACAAAACTAACGGCCTGTATTCTTCAGAAAACTGTCAAGGACCCAAATGAGAAAGGAAGACTCAGGTACTGACTCAGGTTAAAGGAAGACAGGGGAACCCCTGGGAGGGGCAAAGTTAATGCATTCAGCTGCGAACTGAAAGGCTGCTGGAGGTTCAAGGCCCCCCAGAGGTGCCTCAAAAGACAGCTGTAGTGATCTGCTTCTGAGAACTCAGCCAATGGAAGCTCCGTTGAGGGCGTACAGTCCTCCTCTGACACGTACAGGGTCACCGTGAGTTGGAGTTGACACAAAGACAATTCACGATGGTGGAGAATGGGAACCAGGACACGAGACTGCAGAGCTCACGTGATCTTGGAATCTCTTGTTATAGAGGATGCTGTGGGAGAGAAAAGAGGTGTCGGCTCCCATGAAAATGCAGGGTCCCTGAAAATCAAAGGAGTTTCTTATAGGATCGCTATTAATTCGGAACGGGATGGCAGTGGTTTTTGCTTTGTTTTGTTTTGAATGTTTATAGAACATGCTATCAGAACAATTGCTTCTCAAGAAAGTCTACGGATTAGATCACAATCCTGATTCTGGGTTACTTTGCAGGCTTTGATCATTGTATTATGGCTGTGTAAGGGAATACATTGTTTTCCCCACAAGACAAGGAGAATAACATTTACTCCACAGCGCTATTGTTGCTGTCAGTACCTCAAATTGTTTCTGACTCATTACGACCCCATATAGGGTTTCTGAAGAATGGTGAGTGTCAACCACCGACCTTGCAGTCCGGTGCCTATCCTACAGTGCCACACCAGGACCTGATTTGCATGTAGGACCTAGCACAAAATAGTCAATAAATATAGTGAAGACTACCACTGGGAATTTGCTTATAGAAAAGGGTCTTGCTGGGGTTGGTGAAGGATTAAAAAATGTCCACCCTCACTCTCAGAAAGATGAAGACACTTGGTCGGTTTCCAAGAAGTCCATCCAGATCATGAGGCAATGCCAAAGGTGCTAGAGCTCAAGGAGACAAGATCAGGGCAATTTCGTGGGCATTTCAGCTGAAGACCTAGTTCCTACACAAACACAGGGTTTCCCTGCTGCAGCACCAGAAATACACAGAAATCTCTTTCTGTGGACAGGTGTAAAAAAAGATTGAATTATGTTCCTCCAAAATCTATGTCAGCTTGACTGGGCTATGGCTCTTGGTGGTTTGGGAGTACATTTAACAAGGCAATGATGGTTCTAAAAGATGTGATTTGTTGTGATAAGGACTAAGGGTGGGCTGAACTACCCTTCATTGCAGCACAACCCTGATTCTACTAAGGGAGTGTCCCAGTGCTGTGGCCGACAAGAGAAGTGAATGGAGAGAAAGAGGGGCCTGTAGCCACTGAGAAAGGAGAGCCAGCAGTGGAGTGTGTCCTTTGCACCTAAGGTCCCTGCACTGTGAAGTGGTAATATCTAGGGCAAGACTGATGGCTAGACAAGGACCTTATGCTCGGAATCAAAACTTCCGGCTTGGTAGAGTGGAGGGCCAGCGAGACCCCCAACGACAGGGATTGGCAGTCGCAATGAGCTCAGGTATAGCAGCAACTATGAGGAAGTCAGCGACACACGTTTCATCCTGTTGTACATCTAGGGAGGCTTAGGTTCGAACCAACTCGACAGCACCTAACAAGAAGCCTCCTAAAAGGTGCTAGGTAGGTGTTGGACTGCTAACTAAAATGTCGGCAGTTCAAATCCACCAGCTGCTCTTCTGAACAAAAATGAGGCTGCCTATTTGGTTTAAGATCTAGTCTCGGAAACCTTATATATGGTAGCTCTGAGTCAGAATGGAATCGATGGCAGTGGATTAGGTTTTAGTTTGGTTTATGTGCCAGGCTAGTTCCCTGCCAATCAAAATAAGTGTCCTGGTGTGGCCTTGGAAACCTATACAAGGTCACTATGAGTAGGCCTCCATTCCACTCAACAACAAAGCTAACCAAAAAGTTGGGGCTTGGAACCTATGCAGTAGTGCCACGGAAGAAAAGCCTGAAGGTCTGCTTCTATAAAGATTGTTGTTGTAATGTGCCGTGGAGACTGTTCTGACTCATAGTGACCCTGTACAGGGTTGCCGAGGCTGTAAATCTTTACGGGAGCAGAAAGCCTCATCTTTCTCCTGTGGAACAGCTGGTAGTTTCGAACTGCTGAACTTGTGGCCCGCAGCCCGATTCGTAACCACTACGCTACCAGAAAACCCTAGGAGGAATTCGACTCGGAGATCTATGGGGTTGCCTTGTGCCCTGGTGTGGCGCTCTAGGACAAGCACTGGGTAAGACTGGCAGTTCAAACCCACCAGCTGGTCCGGGAACCCCCCCTGTAGCGTCGACAGCACACAGACTGACATGAAGTGGAACAGACGCTGGGCAACACGTTTAGCTTTTATGAGCTAGGTCCTGTTAAGGGTGCAAAGACTGAACATAACCAGGACAGCTACCAAAAGTCCAAGGTCGGCTAGCAAGTGACGAGTCAGATTTAAACTTTGGACTTTTCTCAGAAGCACTGTGGGGGCCTGAAAGTCCTTAAAATATATTATCAGGAGACAGTGCCTAAACTGTTCAATTTAGGAGTGCTTATGCTTACTCCATATTTACGTGTGTACACATTCACATACAACACGTCCCAGCTTCTCTATGGGAAAATTGTGTTCCTGCCTAGTCACCCTAGCTACAGATACCAAAATTATGCCCTAAGGCCTCAAAACGGCTGCGGTCTGAGGCACCTTCTCAAAGATGGTGTCTGCGGGGTCGCTCTCCAGTAGGCCCAAAGCTGCAAGGAAGCATACTTCCTCTGGGTTTGGGCCATCACCGCACAAGGTGGGAAGACAAAATGGCGGCTGTGCCCCGGGCTGAAGCCACATACGGGTACCGCGGCACATCAGAACTACAACTTCCAGAAAGCTCTGGGTCAAGGCTGCGGGTCGATGTGGCGCCAAACCCTGTGCCCCTCCCCCACTCCGACGGAAGGCCTTCGGAGTACACTGCCGGTTTCGCAATCTTCTTCGCACTGGCCGATGGGACTTGCAGTTCTTCTGCTTCAAGGCTGAACCTCTCTACGGCCTTAAGAAACTACATTTCCCGGTGGCATGTACACGACTGCGCTTAAGGCCGCGGAGCTTACTACGGTTCCCGGCGGGCCTTGCGACGTCTGGCAGCGTGGTGACGCGAGAGAGTCGTGCTGACGTACAGCGCGGCCCAGGCGGGGTACGAGTGGCGCAGTCGGAGCCCGCTGCGGCCCCTGAGGAAGCGAAGAGGCGTCGGCAGTGACCGAGGCGGGTCAATCAGCGCGGCGCGGCGGCGGGAGCAGCAGTAGCGGCGGCTCCAGACCCCGAGCCACTCAGGAGCCCGGGTAGCGGCGGCGGGACCTCTTCCCTCGGAGAAGGCGGGCGGAGGCGGCGGCGGCGGGTGAGAGGGCGAGGGAGCGCGCGAGTTGGGTGGGGGAGGGGCGGCCACGGCGCGAGGCCCAGGCGCGCGGAGAACGGCTCAGGCCGCCACGCGCACGCGCGCTCGCCGTCCCTAGCTCCGGCGGACGCCCTCGCCCGCCTGCCTGCTGCTCTCCTCCCCCGGCTCTCGCGGCGCGCGCGGCCTTCCCCTCCCCCGCAGCATCGCCGCCGTCGGGCTTGGGCGCCGCTCGGCTCCCGGCTGCGCCCCCTGCGCGTGGTTGGAGGCCCCCCGCAACCCCCTCGGGGCCTGCCCGTCGACGTCCCGCCCCTCCCAGACTGCGGGGCGCCGCTCCGCCCCTCCCCCACGGCCGCGAGGCCGGAATCGGCGGCGGGGCCTGGAACCAGCGCCCCGAGGGTCGCACCGTTTGGGTCGTTACTCTCGGTCACAAGTGGGGTGCTTCTGAAGGGCCTGGAGGGGGCCGCTGTCGTCGTTCAGTGCCATCGAGTCGGTTCCGACGCGTAACGACCTTATACGGGGTGTCCCAGGAGCCGCTGGTGGGTTGGAGCCGCTAACCTTGTGTCTCGCTGTCGGGTGTTCGACCCCGGAGGGCCGCCACGTGCTGCTGTAGGCCCCTTTCCGCCCTCCTCGGAAGTCGGCCTGAGGCCGGGCGGCGGGCAGCCCTCGCCGGGGAGAGGACGCCCCCTCCGGACGCGAGTGGGCCAGGCCTGCAGCGCCGCCGCGCGCCCTTTCCCCAGCCTTAGTGTCCACTCGGCGCCTCGGCACTTTGGTCTTGCACCGAAACGGCTTCAGAAAAAGTCTCCTTGGTGGTTTTAGCTCACTGAGTGGGCTTAGGGCCGCGCAGCTGCTTCGGGGCCCTGCCTTGGTTCCTGGGTGGGTATTCTTGGGCCATCCCCCCCCCCTTTGGTTGGTGGTCCGTTTTTTTGAGCGTTTTCAGTATTGAGTTTGCTCTCCTCTACCTAATTTTTTATCTGGCAACCCGATGATTCTTCCTCACCCCCACTCCCCCGAAAACATTTTCCTTCTGTCTTCCTCTGCAGCCTTGCTATTTACTTAGACTGTGTGCCTGTGGGGTCCCGTTTAGCAGTCCCTGCTTTACGGTGGGTTGTGTCTGTAGGTTTGGAGGCTCTCTTCTTGGCAGCTCTGTCTTCCCCTTTGTGCGTTCAGCACTGCCGTGTATACCACGGTTTGGGGTTTTTGTTTTTTTGGCTTGGTCTCTCCGCGTTCTCCAATTCCTTGTGACTTAATACCCTTAGCTTAGCAGCTGCTGGTTTCCTCTCCCGGAAGCGGGAGGGGGGGGTGGTCTCCAGTGTGGGTCCAGAGCCTTCCACCAGGGAGGAGGGGCTTCAGGGAGGCGGGGTAGAGAGCAAGATGGAAACAGAGACAGCGCCCCATTTCTCAAGTTCTAAGAGGTTTGGTTTCTTGTACGTTTGTCTTTAGCTTTCCTAGATTGGGCCTTCTCTGGGGCATTTTGGAACAATTGCAGATCTCCCTGCTTTGCAGCCTCTCCCTTTGGTGTTCTGTTTGGTAATCTTTCTCCAGTTATTTGAAGGATGCCTCCTTTTTTTTTCGGGGGGGGGGGAGTTCTTAAAGTGGAACATTCCCTTATTATCCAGTTTTTTTTCTTTTGGTTCTACTTTCCCTAATCTCTCTGTTGGGCCTGTTTACTGGGACTTTGCCCCTGGTTTGTCACCTATTGGGGACGGGGTTGTGGAGGTAGTGGCAGATAAGGCTAGACTGATTAACTCTAGAAACTGGGACCTGGAGGGCCATGCTGGGGCTGGGGGGTAGGAACAAGTGGGGAGTCCAGAACCTGGTCTGAGGTGCAGGGGAGTAGGCTTGCAGGCTGCAGAAGAGACAGACCAGACAGATGTTGAGGGGATTGGTAGGGAAATCCAGAAGAGTCGGGCACAAAACGAGGTACGCGTAGTGAGGGGCTGAGTTTAGGGTAGAGTGGAGAAAAGGGTTAGTGGCCACAGGGGGGAGCTAGTTGGATGGGTTTCAATTCAATAAAGTGTTGAATTGGAAAACAGGCACTGTTGGATGGGAGCTAGTGAGACAGGGAAGGAATGAAAGGAAAAAGCCTCTGTAGGGATTGTTGAGAGGAACTCTATAAATATCTGAGGCCAAGGAAACAGCCCTTGCCTGGGAGGTGAAGCATAAGAGGATTATGTGTCCACAGTCCCCCTGGTTGCAGACTGGCTTTCATTCTGGCATAGACACTAGGCTGCACTGAACTCTTAGGTTACTTGAACTTGTCCACTTGCTCAGGCATTGGATGTTTTAGGCCCTTTCATAGTCTCACAGTGGACTGCAGACTCTCGAGTGCCCCATATCTGTGTCCTTTGTTGGTTGTGGTGTGTTGGGAGGCCTGAGGCAGTTCCTAGAGGTTAGGAAGAGAGGTCACTTGTCCATATTGACGCTAAAGGGATAGTGGAGAGATTTGAAGGAAGTTCTGTCTTTCTGTCTAGGGTGGAAGAAGGAAGCAGTTCAGCTGCAATAGGCATGATTTCGAGTTCTGTGCAGCAGGAGCCACAGGGAAGGCGAGGAGAGCTGGCCTGTGGTTTGGCGGAAAAGCAAGCTGTGTGGGCAGGACTGATGATGGAGACCCAGTTAGGGAAGGAGGGGCAGTAAGAGGAGGCTTAGCATGGAGACAGATACGGAAAGAGAGCCAAGTCTTGGGTGGTGGTTTAGTGTGGGGCCAGGGCCTGACCCGTGTCTCCCCGCTGCCCCCCAGGAGCAGTGGTGCCCCCCGGGCACGGGGCCATGTACAACGGGATCGGGCTGCCGACGCCCAGGGGCAGCGGCACCAACGGCTACGTCCAGCGCAACCTGTCCCTGGTGCGGGGTCGCCGCGGTGAGCGGCCTGACTACAAGGGCGAGGAGGAGCTGCGGCGCCTGGAGGCTGCCCTGGTGAAGCGGCCTAATCCTGACATCCTGGACCACGAGCGCAAGCGGCGCGTGGAGCTGCGATGCCTCGAGCTGGAGGAGATGATGGAAGAGCAGGGGTGAGGGAGGAGGGCGAGGGGTGCAGAGCTGAGCGCTGGGGGAGTTCAGTGGAGCAGAGGGCCCATAGGGCAGGATGAAAGGTCCAGAGAAGAACTGGAGTGGGGAGAAGGTCAATGTGTTAGAGACTGAAAAGGAGTCCAGGGATAGTTTAGAGCAGGAGACAAGGGGGAAATATAAACTATTTAGGGACAGAGATGGGAGACTGAGGGGCTCTTTGAATCATTTGGCTGGAGACACTTGGGACAAGGGGGGGGTGGCATCGAGGAACACAAACTTACTTTGAGGGAGAGCTGGAAATGCAGAAATGTGGTAGAGGTGAGCTAGGTAAGCTGACAGGCATTGTCTTTGGTCTAGCAGAGGCAGATGAATGGGTTTGGGGTTTGAGACAGTTTTGGAAGGTGGCAGAGGCAGTACTTGGAAGAGTGACCTAATGAGGGGATCTGGGGCTGGACAGGGAAAGGGCAATGTTGGAAATGAAGCAGGGCTCGGCAGAAAACCTTTTTAGAGCAGTGGTTTTCAAACTTCGGCAAATGTTTGGCTTTGGAATTCCACTCAATGTGTAAGACGTGTAGAAGTTGGAAGAGGAAGCACCTGGAACTCTGCCTGCTGAGCTTTCCCCCTTGTGGCCCCTGAAGTGTGTAGCATGTTTAAAATCCACTGTTCTAGGAGGGGTAGGGAGATGGGGAAGAAAGATCATGGAGTAAAAGCAGACGACTGAGAAAGGCCTGTGGGTGACAGTGAGTGAAAACTGTGCTTGGGGAGGGCAGGGGCCTATTGAGAATGAGGGAAACAGGGACTTGGTGACGGGAAAGTGCCCAATGGAGCCCTAATCCTGAAGAGGGTTTGTTCTTCAGGTACGAGGAGCAGCAAATTCAGGAAAAAGTGGCGACCTTTCGACTCATGTTGCTGGAGAAAGATGTGAACCCTGGGGGCAAGGAGGAGGCCCAGGGGCAGAGGCCTGCGTGAGTGTTCTTCCCTTTCTGACTTCTTTCGCTGCTGCTACTTCTGTCATCCTTTCTCGCCTGACACCTTCCCTGCTTGCCACTGTCAGTCCATATCCCAGACCCAGCTGACTCTTGCTACACGTTTTTGTTCTGAATTTGCACTCTGTCCTGTGGCTCTGCCCTGTTTCCTAGCTCTTTAGACTTTGGCCTTTTTCCCCTTAGTGTAACTGAGACTCACCAGTTAGCTGAATTGAATGAGAAAAAGAATGAGCGACTCCGTGCTGCCTTTGGCATCAGTGATTCCTATGTGGACGGCAGCTCTTTTGATCCTCAGCGTCGAGCTCGAGAAGCTAAACAGCCAGCTCCAGAGCCTCCCAAACCTTACAGGTACGCCAGCTGGTCCTGCACCATGAGCTTCCTATCCCAGTTCTGAGCAGCTTGCTCTTTTTGTTGATTTACTACCATAGTCTTATGTTTTCTATTCTTTTTGAAGGTGAAATGTGTAGAAGAAATTTGATCCTACCATTCATTCATTTCCTTTTTCTGTAGCCTTGTCCGAGAGTCCAGCAGTTCTCGCTCACCAACCCCAAAGCAAAAGAAGAAGAAAAAGAAGAAAGACAGGGGACGGTAAGTCTGCTGGAAAGTTGTTCTGTGTTCATCCAGGACAGATCCGTTGGAAACTGACAATTCTTGCTTCCAGAAAACAGGAAGACTGACTTGTCAAGAGAAAAAGCTACCAGTCAGGTCCCTGCTGAGAGAAGTGTGTGTGTGTGTGTGTGTGTGTGTGCGCACAAACACAAGTTTCAGTGGGAAAGGGTCAAGTCTGCTAAACTGGTTATCAGCATTCTGGTTATTTGAGATTCTCCCCTGTGCCCGTTTTGAGGTTTGTCGATGTAAAAACGTATTCTCTACCTCTTGGAGAATAAAGCGAACTCCTGAACCTAGGTCTGGGGCCTCTGGTACTGGTGGTAGGGTTTTGTCTGGATGGATTGTGAGGGAGGGAGGGCCAGGATAGATGCCCTGTAGAGTGACCATGCTTCTCATCCCATCTTTAGCAGATCAGAGAGCAGCTCTCCTCGCCGGGAGAGGAAAAAGAGCTCCAAGAAGAAGAAGCACAGGTAGGTGGTCAGGAGGTTGGGCCCACCTGGAGTGGGTAGGGAAGGCTTGGTGAGCTCAGGCCTAGCAATTGATTTATGTTCTCCCTCCCTCAACACCCCCCCCACCCCACCCCAGGTCTGAATCTGAGTCCAAGAAGCGGAAGCACAGGTGAGAACCCTTTGGATCCTAGGGGACATAGTGGTATGGGGTGGGTGCTGAGCCATTGCTTGGTGGCCTCTTGGAGTAAAGCTCCAGGAATTGTCTGTCTTGGTTGTCCTTGATGCGCTCCATTTTATTTTTGATTTCACCATTTTGCCTTGCTTCTCAGGTCCCCCACGCCAAAGAGCAAGCGTAAATCTAAAGACAAGAAACGGAAGAGGTGAGTGGATTGATGTGGGTTTGGGAGGCATGCACTTGGCAAGTGGATGAATTCCATCCGTGGGGCCGGGGGCTCAGTCACGGCATGGGCTGTTAGTAGGGCGAGGACTGGGTGAAGGTTGCCCAGGACAGGTGCGATAGCACCTTTAACTATGCTGGTTCTTGATTTCAGGTCTCGAAGTACAACCCCAGCCCCTAAGAGCCGCCGGGCTCACCGTTCCACGTCTGCTGACTCTGCATCTTCTTCTGATACGTCCCGCAGTCGGTAAGGGGTGGTCCAGAAGGAACAGGGGGGAGAGGGATTGGCGGGTTAATCCATTTAATATTTATTGCGCGCCCACGGTGTGCTAGGCGCTGCACAGACCATTCGGAAGACACGGTCCCTGCCCTCTAGGAGCTGACAGGCTACAGGATGGACAGACATATACATTTCCCCTTCTCTTTTTATTTCTGTTTATTATTTTTTGTTTTGTTCCGATGTATATGGACTGCCAGAATAGGGGTTGGGGGGGCTTGTTCGTGGTGTCTGGGGGAGGAAGGAACCCTTACCCTGGCTTCCTTAATCGGGGAAGGCTTCCTGAAGGAGGTGGGCTCAGAGGTGAGTTGTGAATGAAGCAGGTAGGGAAGTGGTTGGGTGGAGGGTTGGGAGGTTTTGGGCCAGGGGAGAACATTCTTGGGCTGTGTTGGGAAGAGAAGGACCAGAGCGGACTGGACTTGAATTTCCTGTGAACAATTTGAGTCTGTGACATAGGCAGCTTTTTGGAAGAGGGTTGCACAGTCAGCAAGGTGGACGGGAGCCTGGGAGGGGATTTTTAGTCTCCCTTGACCTGACTCCTCCTTCCCTGCCCCTTCCTCAATTACCTCCTTCAGGTCTCGAAGTACTGCAGCGAAGACCCATATAACTACTTTGACTGGGCGCAGCCCTTCCCCTGAGTCAGGGCGCCAAGGGGTGGGAGAGGCATCTTGCAGGGACTTGGGTCCCACTCACACAGGCAGCCCAGAGCCCTCCAGGAAGCAGTCCGGCAGCCCCCAGGAAGACAGAGAAAAGAAGGAGGTATGTTCCCTCAGTTAGGGGTACTTGAGGGGCTGCAAGGGAATAAGTTTAGGACGCAAGTGTGACGTGGCAGGAGTGGCAGTGGGAGAAAACGTCGATTGTGTTGAGATGTTGACGTTTTGGGATTTTTGTGCATTTTTATTAAATGATAGCTATAAATTAAAATTTTCTTTTGTATTGTTAAGTACCATCAGAGTTTACTTTTAAGCTTCACTACAAAAAATAGGGTTGTGTGCTGTCTTTATACACAGAAACAGGTAGAATTGGACCAGAAGTTTCTTTAAACCATGTTTGCTAAAAGCATCCACAGGGTTCGATGCTTAAGAGTCTGGAAGCAGTATTCTGGAATGGTTCTGAAGTACTTCAGTTCTGTTATATTTTCTGTTCTAATACAAGACCTAATCATTCTTGTCTCAGTTGATAGGTAGCGTATTTGAATGACTCTCTTGAAGTTCTATCTCCTATTCATATTCCATCTCCCATTCAGTTGCCAGCTCATTTTCCAGTTATCTTCCTAAACTTTTAAGTGAGATCACTTTAAAATCTTTTACTTCCCATTACTTTCTAACTCTTATTTAAATCTCTTATAATTTGGTCTTCTCTCTTTCCTGTATTTCAGATCAACATTTTCATTGTTTAAACAAATCACGTTCTGAAACCTTTGCCTTTGTCCACACCGTTTCTTTATTTTGATCTAGTTACCTATCTGCAAGGGTGAAGTCAGATGCCACCCACTTGGGGAAATTGCTTCTCTTTCAACTTAAAAATGGATGCTTTTTCTTTGATACTACAGCATTGTGTAGTGGTGGTTGTCGGTACAGTGTGCATTAGCTGTTGACCTTTTGCCTGGGTCTACAATTTAAGCCCCTTGGGGTAACGGACTGTGTGTCTACGTTATCCTTGCTGTGCTTTGTACTGTGTGATTCCTTGCTGTCGATTGAGCAGTACTGCTATGGGAGGAAGGCCCAGTCGGGGCATTGGGTTGCGTGAAAGGAAAGTTGCATTGGAAAGGGTGTTGGGATGTTAGTGGTGATGAGTTTTGGTGCTTACGTGTCCCTATCCCTACTTTCTCTTCCATTCTTAGAAATCTGCATCTCGACCTAGCCCCTCCCCGGAGAGGAGCAGCACTGGCCCAGAACCGCTCCTTGCTGAGCAACATGGCAGCTCCCCACCTCCCCTTTCAGCAACCCCCTTAAGTCAGGAGCCAGTGAAACCCCCAGTTGAGGCCTCCCCAACCCGGGGCCGTTCACCACTTAAGTCTCCTGGGAAGCCTCCCCAGTCGTCTTCCTCGGAGAGCTGTCCACCATCCCCTCAACCTACCAAAGTTTCTCGGCATGCCAGCTCTTCCCCTGAAAGCCCGAAACCTGTGCCAGCTCCTGGGTCCCGCCGAGAGGTTTCATCTTCTCCCACCTCCAAGAGTCGATCCCATGGCAGAGCAAAGCGGGATAAATCACATTCGCCTACTCCTCCCCGTAGGATGGGGAGGTCCCGTAGCCCAGTTGCCACCAAGAGGGGTCGATCCCGATCTCGAAGTCCTGCCAAGAAAGGCCATTCTCGGTCTCGGTCCCCTCAGTGGCGTAGGTCTAGGTCTGCTCAGAGGTGGGGACGTTCTAGAAGCCCCCAGCGACGAGGCCGCTCTAGGTCTCCTCAGCGGCCAGGCTGGTCCCGGAGCAGAAATGCTCAGAGAAGAGTAAGGTCTAGGTCAGCAAGGAGGGGCAGATCACACTCTCGATCTCCAAACACCAGGGGCAGGACTCGTTCTAGAACACCTGCCCGGCGGGGTAGGTCCCGGTCTAGAACACCTGCCAGGCGAAGATCTCGATCCAGAACCTCTAACAGACGGAGGTCCCGGTCTAGAACGCCAGCCCGGCGGGGGAGGTCTCGCTCTAGAACCCCAGCCAGACGGAGGTCTAGAACCCGGTCACCTGTACGGCGGAGGTCTCGTAGTAGATCACTAGCCAGGAGAGGAGGCAGGTCACGCTCCAGAACCCCAGCCAGACGTGGCAGGTCACGCTCTAGATCGCTAGCCAGGCGCAGCGGCAGGTCACGTTCTAGGACACCAGCCAGGAGAGGGAGATCTCGGTCTAGGACACCAGCAAGACGAGGGAGGTCCCGTAGTAGAAGTCTAGGTAGGCGGGGACGATCTCATTCTCGAACCCCACAAAGAAGAGGCAGGTCTGGCTCATCATCAGAGCGAAAGACCAAATCCAGAACATCTCAGAGAAGGAGCAGGTCCAATTCCAGCCCAGACGTGAACAAATCTCGCGTTTCTTCACGACGTAGTAGGTCCCTTTCTTCACCCAGAGCCAAAGCAAAATCTCGCTTGTCTTTGAGGCGAAGTCTTTCAGGGTCCTCTCCGTGCCCTAAACAGAAGTCTCAGACGCCACCTAGACGCAGCCGCTCGGGATCATCTCAGCCTAAAGCAAGATCAAGAACCCCATCAAGAGGAAGTTGTTCTGGCTCTCCACCTCCTAAACAGAAATCTGGAACACCGCAAAGGCCAGGATCCACAGCCAGTCCCCAGGAAAACGAACACTCTGCAGTATCACAAAGGCGGAGTCGATCTGGATCATCACCCCGCCTCACAGCAAAGTCTACACCCCCCAGGCGGAGCCGTTCCGGATCACCACCGGACCCTGAGGGGCCATTTTCTCCACTCAAAGCGAAGGTGGAAACATCACCAAGTCGAAGCCACTCTGGCTCCTCTTCACCCAGTCCTAGTAGGGTGACTTCTAGAACACCGCCCAGGCAAAGCAGATCAGAGTCTCCTTGTTCCAAGGGGCAGCCTAGAATGTTGCCAAGGCAGAGCCATTCGAGGCCCTCCTCACCAGATGATAGAGTGACACCTGGGACACCACCAAGACTCAGTCCCTCAGGGTCTACACCACCAGGCCCCAAAGTAAAGCCCCAAACTCCACTAAGGCAATGTCTCTCTGCCTTAGAGTCACCATGTCCTCAAGAAAATGCTAAAGATTCAACAGGACAAAGTAGTTTAGGCTCTTTACTGTGTTCAGGAGCAAAGTCTAGCCCACCGCCAGGCGAGAGCTCCTTTATTAGCACCTCGTTGCTGCAACAGAAAGGACCGTCCCAAACTTCACCAGATAACACATCTGACACTTCAAGTCCAGAAGAAAGACAGGGTCTCTCTGAGTCACCATCTCTACAGAGCAAGTCTCAAACACCTCCTGAGGGTGATCAGTCCAGGTCCTCATCTCCAGTGGCTGATCTGACATCCAGATCGCCAGCAAGACAAAACAAGGGCGGGCTGTCTACAAGTCCTAGACTGAAATCCGGCGTATCTCCTGAGCAGAGGTCTCAATCTGACTCCTCGCCACATCCTGGGATGGACTTTAAATCTCTTTTGTGGCAAAGTAGAATGGAGTTTTCTCCAGAACCAAAGGAGAAAGCGAGCTTATCCTTTCAGGAGCACATTCCAGCTTCATCTAGACTGAGAGACCAGTTTAGTCCCCCTCCAGTGCAGGTTGGGCCCGAGTCCTCACCAGTGCCAGTGCTCGGAGGTACATCAAGAACGCCTCTACCAAAGGAAACCAGTGGCTCTGGGCCACCTCCAAATGTAAAAGGCCAGAATAGTGTACTAACTAAACCCAACCAAGAGGAGTTGATGGAGGTAGTTGAGAAACCTGAAGAACTTTCAAACCAGATCCTGTCCTGCTTGTCACCAGAAGTGTCCGGAAGAAACTTAGAGTCTGTACCTGAAATAGAAAAAAATCTTGCTGTGTCTGTATCTCTGGACCAAGGCCAGTTGCAGGCTTCTCTGGAAGCAGAGGTTCCTACAGTGACTTCAGCTGGGAGTGGGCCAGACTTTTCTCCAGAACATAAAGAACTGTCTAACTCTCCGCTTCGGGAGAACCTCTTTGGGTCACATATAGAATATAGAAATTCAGGCCTTATTGCTACAGAAATTAATACTGAACTGTCTCCTGAAGCTAATGAAGATGTGAAGAGGCCTTGCCTGAATCAATTGGAGACAAACCCATCTCAGGATGGGAACGAGGACTCCACTAGACTCTCCAGGCACCACAGTTCTGGATTATCCCCAGATGCGGCAGAGAGAACAGGAACAAGCGGCTCTTCCCCTGTGCTGGATGTCATACCCGGAACACCCTCAAGGGCAAGAAGCAGTTCTACATCGTCTCCTGAGCCAAAAGAGGGCTTACCCAGGACCCCATCACGGAGAAGCCGATCTGGTTCTTCCCCCAGACTACGTGATGCCTCTGGGACTCCCTCGAGGCACAGCCTGTCTGGGTCCTCCCCCGGAATGAAAGATGCACCGAGAACGCCATCCAGGGGCAGGAGTGAGTGCGATTCTTCTCCAGAACCAAAGGCTTTGCCTCAGACCCCCAGTCGGAGAAGCCGCTCTCCGTCATCCCCAGAGCTCAACAACAAGTGTCTCACTCCCCAGAGGGCAAGGAGCGGGTCGGAATCTTCCATTGAACAGAAGACCTTGTCAAGGACTCCCCCCAGGCGACGAAGCCAGTCTGCATCTTCTCAAGAGCTGGATGGGAAGCCTAGCACCTCTCCTCAGGAACACAGTGATTCGGACTCTTCTCCAGATTCTAAAGCGAAGATCCGAACTCCGCTCAGGCAGAGAGACTGCTCTGGCTCATCCCCAGAGGTCGAGGGCAAATCTCGGCCTTCTCCTCGGCGCAGCCGGTCTGGCTCGTCCCCTGAAATTTCAGAGCAGCCCAGAGCGGCACCCAGGGCTCAGAGTGGCTCCGACTCCTCTCCTGAGCCCAAACCTCAAGCCTCTCGGGCACTTCCTAGACGCAGCCGATCGGGTTCCTCTAGTAAGGGCCGAGGCCCTTCTGCTGATGGAAGTAGCAGCTCGGATTCATCCCCAGAGCATCCGCCCACCTCCAGAGCTGCTCGAAGAAGCTGCCGTTCCTCCCCAGAACTCAAGACCAAATCTCGCACACCGCCTCGCCGGCGCAGCTCTCGCTCCTCCCCAGAGCTGACCAGGAAGGCCAGGATTTCTCGAAGAAGCCGTTCTGCATCTTCCTCACCAGAGACCCGCTCCCGTACCCCTCCAAGGCGCCGCAGGAGCCCCTCAGTATCCTCCCCAGAGCCTGCCGAAAAGTCAAGGTCCTCACGTAGGCGGCGCTCCGCCTCCTCCCCACGTACCAAAACTGCTTCCAGGAGAGGCCGATCTCCTTCACCAAAGCCTCGTGGACTCCAGCGGTCCCGTTCACGGTCAAGGAGGGAGAAAACCAGGACAACCAGGCGTCGTGATAGATCTGGGTCCTCACAGTCCACCTCACGAAGGAGACAGCGGAGTAGGTCAAGGTCTAGGGTTACTCGCCGCCGGAGGGGTGGCTCAGGTTACCACTCTAGGTCACCTGTCCGCCAGGAAAGTTCCCGAACCTCCTCCCGACGCCGGAGAGGCCGCTCTCGAACACCTCCAGCCAGTCGCAAACGTTCCCGATCTCGCACTTCACCAGCCCCGTGGAAACGCTCGCGCTCTCCAGCTACTCACCGGCGGTCCAGGTCAAGAACGCCACTGATCAGCCGACGTCGGTCCCGCTCACGCACCTCGCCAGTCAGTCGGAGGCGATCAAGGTCCAGGACGTCAGTGACACGGCGCAGATCCCGCTCTAGAGCATCCCCAATAAGCCGCCGGCGATCCCGGTCCAGGACACCCCTGGTGACCCGTCGGCGATCTCGGTCAAGAACACCAGCCACACGTCGGCGTTCCCGTTCCAGAACTCCACTGGTGACTCGCCGGAGGTCCAGGTCTCGGACCCCACCAGTGACCAGAAGGCGCTCGCGTAGCAGGACCTCGCCGGTCACTCGCAGAAGATCTAGGTCCAGAACCTCCCCCATTGCTCGTAGGCGATCTCGGTCTCGCACGTCTCCAGTCACTCGAAGGCGGTCCCGCTCTAGAACCTCACCAGTGACGCGCCGCCGCTCCAGGTCCCGCACGCCTCCAGCCATCCGCCGCCGCTCCAGGTCCCGCACACCACTGCTGCCTCGCAAACGTTCACGCAGCCGCTCACCGCTGGTTATCCGACGCCGCTCCCGGTCCCGTACTCCGCGCACAACTCGCGGCAAACGGTCCTTGACCAGGTCTCCTCCGGCTATCCGTAGGCGGTCTGCATCTGGAAGTAGCTCTGATAGGTCTAGGTCTGCCACTCCTCCAGCAACCAGAAATCACTCAGGGTCGCGGACACCCCCCATGGCGCTCAGCAGCTCCAGGATGAGCTGCTTCAGCAGACCTAGCATGTCACCGACCCCTCTTGACCGCTGCAGGTCCCCTGGGATGCTGGAACCCCTGGGCAGCTCCCGGGCACCAATGTCTGTCCTGCAGCAGGCAGGTGGTTCCCTGATGGATGGCCCAGGCCCTCGAATGCCTGATCATCCGAGAGCCTCGTCTGTACCAGAAAACCATGCTCAGTCCAGAATCGCGCTCGCTTTGACAGCCATCAGTCTCGGCACTGCTCGGCCACCTCCATCCATGTCTGCTGCCAGTCTAGCCGCCAGGATGTCTCAGGTGCCTGCTCCGGTGCCTCTCATGAGTCTCAGAACAGCCCCAGCTGCCAGCCTTGCCAGCAGAATCCCCGCAGCCTCAGCAGCTGCCATGAACCTGGCCAGCGCCAGAACACCTGCCATTCCGACGGCTGTGAACCTGGCCGACTCACGCACACCCGCTGCGGCCGCCGCCATGAGCCTAACCAGTCCTAGAACAGCCGGGGCCCCGTCGGCCGTGAGCCTGACTGATCCGCGCACCCCGACGGCCTCAGCAGTGAACTTGGCAGGAGCCAGAACCCCGGCCGCTCTGGCAGCTCTGAGCCTTGCAGGCTCTGGCACATCCCCAGCGGCTGCCAGCTACCCCTCCAGCTCCAGAACAGCCCAGGCTCCAGCCCCTGCAAACCTCGTGGGCCCTAGGTCCGCTCATGCCACAGCGCCGGGGAATCTTACCAGCTCGAGAGCCTCTGTGGCCCTAGCACCCTCCAGCCTAACCAGTGCTAGGATGGCCCCAGCCCTGTCGGGGGCCAACCTCACCAGCCCCAGAGTACCCATCTCTGCCTATGAGCGTGTCGGCCGTGCTTCGCCCCCGCTCCTCGACCGAGCCAGGTCCCGCACACCACCCGGAGGCTCAGGCTCCAGAGCATCCCCATCAGCCCCCAGCCAGTCCCGAGGGCCCTGTGAGCGTGCGCTGTCTCCTGTCTCTCGAATGGGCCAGCCTTCTCAAGCTCTCCTGCCTACCCAGGAGCGACCCAGGTCCCCTGGCCCACCAGCGTTCTCAGACCAGTCCCGTCCTCTGCCTGCCTCAGGAGCAGCATCTCAGGCCCTCTTCTCTGGGGCAAAACCCTCAGCTGCTGGTGACCACAACGGCATGCTCCTGGGGCCCACCCCTGGGCTCTTCCACCCTGAGGGTGGGGAGCCAACAGCCTCGGCCGGGGCACCACAGCCCCCTGCACTGGCCAGCCTGCAGCCCACCAAGGAACGGCGGAGCTCCTCTTCCTCATCTTCATCCTCCAGCTCTTCCTCTTCGTCCTCTTCTTCCTCCTCTTCCTCGTCCTCCTCCGGCTCCAGTTCTAGTGACTCAGAAGGCTCCAGCCTTCCCGCGCAGCCTGAGGTGGCTCTGAAGAGGTGAGGGGCCTTCACCGCAGGAGACCTGCTGGAGGGGGTAGTGGTGTGGGCAGGGTGGGCGGGGTGGGAGCACCCCTGTCAGGTTTTCAGCTCTGTGAGGAGGTGTGGGGGGTGCCTTGGCCCTGCAGCTGGGGGCATGGGGTGGGATGGGACAGTGGAAGTCTGGAAGCCGCATTCTCTAGAGGATAATGATGAGTTTTCCGTCTCTACAGCGGACAGAACTAGAGGAAATGGACTTAATTTTACAGCAGGAGGGATGGCAGTTAGACCTCAAGAGGAACTCCCTGGGCTGGAAGGAGCTTCAGAGGTCATCCCGTCCCTCTCCCTGCCTCCAGGCAGGACGGCCCCACCCAAGCCAGCCTGCACTCAGGCCTCCCCATGCTGAGGCTCTCCAAGGAAGGAGACGCCAACTGTCCACATCTGAGCCCAGGGCCTTACTCTCCGGCAGGGGCATTCTTGAGGTTTAACCTTTGCTCCCTGGTGCTGTTCGTCTTAGTGGAGGTTGGGCCATTCGGGCCACTGCCCACCAGAACATCAATGGCTCCCAATGTGCTCGGCTCAGAGCTCCCAGGGCCTCTCAGGCATCCCCCCCCACTGCCGTTCCTCCAGGCCAAGGAAGGTAGGGTTGGGGCTGGGGCCACTTAGCTCTTGGTGACCCTTGTCTCCTCCCACAGGGTCCCCAGCCCTGCCCCAGCCCCAAAGGAGGCAGTTCGAGAGGGCCGTCCCCAGGAGCCGACCCCGGCTAAGAGGAAGAGGCGCACCAGCAGTTCCAGCTCCAGCTCCAGCTCCAGCTCCAGCTCCTCCTCCTCCTCTTCTTCCTCCTCCTCCTCCTCCTCCTCCTCTTCTTCCTCCTCCTCTTCTTCCTCCTCCTCCTCCTCCTCCCCCACCTCCCCTGCTAAACCTGGCCCTCAGGCCTTGCCCAAACCTGCAAGCCCCAAGAAGGCACCCCCAGGCGAGCGGAGGTGAGTGGTTTCTGCCTGATGGAGCGGGGGTGGGGAGACTTAGAGAGAGGACCCTGGGACGCCAGCTGCCTGCCATGGTCCACACGGACTGGACGCTGCTGTCTGGCTGCGCAGGAGGAGTCAAGTTCTCCTTCCTACCTGTTACGCTGTGTCCAAGACCAGGCCATTCTCAGGAATATTCCCCGATCCTCCCCTTCTTCCTGACCCCAGGCCCCAGGCCCCAGGCCCCGGGATTCTAGCTTTGGAATCTCCCGGTTGCTGGTGCCGGGGCTCTGGTCATCTTCTTCCCCGACTCTGTCCACAGCCTCCTCCCTGTCTCCCTGCCTCCACGCCATTCTCTTCCACACGTAGCCAGAGGGATCTTTCTAAAACGCACATCTGGTTACTTCCCTCCACTCCACACATCCTCCCCGGACGCCCTCTGGCCTGCAGGATAAAGCCCCCACCTCGGCGGGGAGGGCAAGGAAGGCTTCTCAGCAGCGGCTTTGCCGCCCACCCGCCTGCCCCTCCCTGCCCAGCCTACTGCTTCTCGCCCACGCCCCACCCTGCAATGCAGGGCCCACCATGCCCCCAGGCCCATGCCTTTGGACTTGCTGCTCCTCGGCCTGGATATCCCTTGTCTGTGGATGCTCCTCGGTCTGCAAGACTCCATCTGCTCAGAATGCACCTTGGAGACCACCACCCCATTTCTGGGCCCCCCAGCCCCTGAAAGTCCCCCTGCAGGGGCTGCTCCCTACACAGGGGCAGGAACTGCCCACTTGTGGCCCCATCTTTTCCCTGGGCTGGGCCCGTCTCTGCCTCCCCCGCTGCACCCCAGTGCCCGCTGCTCTCCGGGCGCTCGGTGGATGGTGTGCGGGCGGATGGGTGAGTGAGTGCACACAGGTGGGTCTGAAGCTGCCCCAAGTGGTGCGAGGTTTGGTGGCCAGGACCCGGGAGGGTGGTCCTGTGTGTTGTGTTGGCTGGTGGGTTTGGAAGGGGCTGGTGTTAAAGGAAACCTGCTCTACTCCCCAGGTCCCGAAGCCCTCGGAAGCCAATAGACTCTCTCCGGGACTCTCGGTCCCTTAGCTATTCCCCTGCAGAGCGTCGCCGCCCCTCGCCTCAGCCCTCACCAAGGGACCAGCAGAGGTAGGCACTGGGAAGGGTCTGGTTTCCCACTCGTAGCTAGTGGGTGGCACCTTGTGCTTCTACAAATAAACGAGAGCTTTTGACAATTTGTGGCAGTGTGGTATTAAAATATAATGGTAGTTTCCTATTGACTTTGAGAGGCTTAAAAGGAGCTCAGGAGTAGATGTTGGAGCTTCTGGTCTGATGTCTTTGTTGTTGTGCAGCAGCAGCGAACGAGGTTCACGGAGAGGCCAGCGTGGAGACAGCCGCTCCCCAAGTCACAAGCGCAGGAGGGAGACACCCAGCCCCCGCCCGCCTCGCCACCGCTCCTCCAGGTGTGTTCCCTGTGCCACTGGAGCTGGGTGTCTGAGCCCCCCTCAATGTGCTGGGGTTTCTGCAGTGACTGGCTATCTGCTCTGTTGCAGGTCTCCGTAAACCTGGGACTTCTCCACACCTGGGAGCTGCGTTACTGTGCCCCTTTGCCCCAGAGCTACGGGAAGGGCTCTGGACCCCCTTGGGCCTGGCAGCCTCTTGTTGGGAGGGCTCTTTTACCTCTCCCTTTTTTCCTTTGTTCCTGTGAAATGTTAATCTCTGTGAGTTTTTCCTGGTTCATGTGTTTTTTTTTGGGGGGGGTGTTGGGGTGGGAGGGACTGAGAATGGGGGCTTAGGGAGGGGAGGATCAGATGGGACCTCCCTGCCTTGATCAGAGTGGTCTGGGAGGCTCCAGTCCTCCCTTAACCCCAAGTTACTATGGAATCGAGGTCTGCTTGGGGCCTTCAGCAAAGGGGTTCCTGGAAAAAGGTAGGGCAAGAATTGAAATTAGTTGATCTTTACCGCCTCCCCCAATGAGGTTTGTGGCCCCTCCCCCCACCTTTTCTTCATGTTTCTTAAAGGCATTTTGGTTTTTTAAAATCTGTACAGCAAGAGCCACTTTTTCTGTCCAATAAAAAATGAGAACTGCAGGAACTGGTCTCCAGGCTGTTTATTGTTAGGGGTGGGTGTAACTCACTAGCAACAATTCAGATCTGGTGCCCCACAGTACAGGCAGCTTGGCCAGGGTCCTCAGCCTCCCGCCTCCCAACCCCAGGACTGGAGGGTATAGGGTGCTGATGGGGTTGGGGCCCTGAAGCCCATCATGGGAGTGAGCCTGTGGATGAGAATAGGGGGCTAAGGGTTTGAGAAAGAAGCAGGACCCAAGTTGACACGGAAATCTTTTATTTGGGGGGGGGGGTGAGACTAGGAGGTGCTGCCAGCCGTCAGTCACTGCACAGCTTGTTCATTGGCACTGCTCCCTGAATCCTGCGGTTTCATCACATCAGGGAGCTCAGGAGGGCTGGAGAAGGGCTCGATGCGAAGGGCCTCGAATGTGTCATCTGGGAGGTGGGGGAAGACAGAGGAAGGCAGGACACCAGGTGACCTTTTGGTCTTCAATAGAGCTTTCCTCTTAGGGGCCACACTGGGACTGCATGGCTGGGTCAAGTTTAGCCATCCCTCCATTGTTGTCAAGTGTCACTGAGTCAACAACCCTGTATAGGGTTTCCAAGGATCAGCTGGCCAACCAGTCACAGTCCCACTGAAAATCCTTATGACAGAACCGTTATCATTTAAAACCTCCCTTCCCATTTTGGGGGAATAAATCACCCCTCTAGGTTTCATTTTTAGGGTGGCAGCTCTCTAGCCTGTGAGTCTCAGTATGCTTTAAAGTGGGCACAGGCTAAGTCTGGGCTGCTTAGGGAAGTTTGGGGGTTTGGCATCCATGTCTTACGAAACTGGGTGGGGGCAAGGCTTGGGTTCAAAGCTGCTAAGAGGACACATTGGGGCCATAGGAAGGATGCCAAGCACGTGTGTGAGCTGTGAACTTTCAAATTGTTAACGAAAGGGGCCTGAATTTCTACAAGAGCACTGTGGGCTGCTTGTATTTACACTGGCTCTGTTTTTGAGTTGAATGTTTCTGAGAGTGCTGGGGGCTCTCTGAAGACCCTCCTGGCTTCACCCACCCCAGGCTCCCTCACCTGCCCGGAAGGCCAGCCCCACTGTGGCTGGGGCCTGGGGCCTTGCAGTCTGACTGGTGAAGCCACACTCCCCCAGCGTCTTGGTGTCCTCCAGGAGCTGGTCGTCCTGAAGAGAGATGGAGAGGCTTGGAGAGGCCCAGGACGGTCAGATTTCGAGGACCTCTCAGCCAAAAGAAATTCAGGAAGCCAGGGGAAGGAAGTAAGATGGCTGGTGTGTCCCAGAACCACCCCAGTTCACATGAACACTTGGGACAAGGGCCAAGACTTCCAAATCAACGGACTTGAATCCTGGTTCTTGGAATCTGCGCATCCCCAAATTTATTCCAAGAGTCCCTGAGCCAGTCTGGAAAACACCAACCTGGGTTTGGATCCCAGCTTTGCCACCCTCAACAGTCCACGTGACCTTGGACAAGGTGGGTGGCCTGGTTGGGAAATTCCCGTTTCTGTAAAATGGGAATTACCAATAACCATAGGGCAGGCAGAAAGCATGTGGGTGTGCAGAGGGTGTAGGGGAGAACGCAGAAGCTGAGGCTCTTGAGGACCTAGGGCTGGGATGGCCAAAAGGCCACTCTACTTCCCAGCTAGATTAAGATCTGATTTACCAGATTCTGTCATGAAATCTAAGCTTTTATCTTCATTGCATAATCCATTGGTTGGTATAAAGAAGACTTGTGTAACACCAACAAAAGCAGCTTATTGATGAACCAGTGAGATCCAAATTAGCACCCTCCTTTCTGATTTTTGTTGCGTGTTTTTATAGGTTGGGTTGGTACCTGAGAAGCCTCAGCAGGCGCGTTTAGGGGGCAGAGTGTGATTCGGGAGGGCCAGCTGTGTAGGTTAAGGGCACGGGGGTTCAGATCCGGGCTCTGCCAACGACCTTGGGCGAGTTTGGGGACCGGAGCTGGGCTCGGGTCCCCACGGCGTGGCTGTGGCCGTTGCCCTGGGTAGGATGCCCAAGACCGGACACGCGGTTCTGGAGCACCCTTGACGCTTCCCACGCTTGGACCCAGTGCACCCGGGAGGCAGCCCCGCGAGCCCCGGGTTCGGAGGCGAATCGGCCCGCGGCGCCACTGTTTACATCTGTGACATCCACCCGCGGCGCCGCGCGCCCACCCCGCCCTGGACCTTCCGTTCCGTTCCTCGGTTCGTTCGCCCGCCCGCCGGCCAGGCCCGCACCTTGTACAGCCGCTGCTCGTCCGGCGGCCGCTTGAGGATGCCCTCGACGATGCGCTTCAGCTCGAACACGGTGCTCGACTCCTTGGCGTCGGTGAAGATGGTGGTCTTGTGGCGCCGAATCATAAGAAACACGTCCTGGGGCAGCGAGACGGCGTGAGCGCGAATTCCGGGCTCACCGCGCGGCCCGCGGACCCCCGCCGCCCCCCAGGCCCCCGGCCCGGCCCGCCCCTCCCCCGCGCCCGCTCACCATCGCGGCGACTGCCTCTCCCCCTCGACGCGCCGGCGCGGCCGCGCTCCGCCCCGTTCCCAGCATTCCGCGCGCCCGCCCCGACATGCCCCGCGCCCGGCGGTCCCGCCCCTGGGCCCAGCGCCCCGCCTCCTCGGCGCCGCCATTTTAAAGCGGTCCGGAAACGGGTCGCTATGATTGGGCTCTCGGCCGCCATCTTGGTGCCGCGGCGCACTGGTCGGGGTGGCCTAGATGGTGGGAGGGACGAGTGTGGAAGGGACTTGAGCCACTCAAGTTGCTATCATCTTAGAAGTGGCAAAGGCGAGGTGTCCATGCTGATGCTGTCGGGGGAGCCCCAGGGGCAGAGGTCACTTGCTTTGGGGCATCTCGGGGGCTAACTGCCAGCGTAGGGTGCTGGCACATTCCAGCGGGGTGGATGAATGATGGTTGGCCCGGTCAATCATCGGGGTTGGTAGGATAGTTGCATTGACGTGTGCCGTGAACTGTCATTAAAGAGTGACCAACTTAACAATAGTGTCTTGGTGGCCATTTTGCGAAAGTGTTTTGCTTTGGGCCTCCCGGCCACCGTACTGGAAAAATACCCCTTATCCCTGCCTGTTCTTTGGGTGTAAGACTTGTCCATCAGGCCTTGAGGACCTATAAGGATCGTAGAAGAGAAAAGTTAACGGTAGGAGGTGGGTCAGACGATCTTCAGGCCCCTCCCTGCTTAGTTACACTTCCCCTGGCTGACTGGCTGGCCTCTCTTGGGTCTCCCCTACAACCGACCCCTTTCCTTTGGGGCATTGAACATTGTTTGCTTTTACACAAACGGCAGTTATATTAGTTACAAGGAAGGACGTATTCCATCAATCACGCCCGGGTCGTGGCTGGGCGTGTGTGGCAGAGGACGTGCCTTTGGCACCCGGCGAGAAAGGAGCCCGTGGGTGGTGGCCTTGGAAGCCCAGCAATCCTGCACCTGCTGGGGCTGAGACTGGAAGGCGGGTGTGGTGCTGGAGGATAAGCACTGGACAGCAAGATCTGCGGTTCAAATCCACCATGCTTTCCTCGGAAACGCTATACAGGATCGCTGAGTGGTGTAGCGTTTCCGAGGCTGTAAATCTTTACGCGAGTATGTGAGCAGAAAGCCTCATCTTTTTCCTGTTGAGCGACTGGTGGATTCGAACTGCTGACCTTGTGGTTAGCAGTCCATCACTTAACAGGGTCCTATGAGTTGTAGAAGACCTTGTGCGGTGCAGTGGGTAAATGCGCTGGACTGCAAAGTCGGTTTGAACTGCAATGGTCGGCGGTTCAAGCTTACCAGCTGATGCTTGTAGTAACCGATATCTGCACACCACTATAGTGGGAAGATGCTGCTTTTACCCCGCACCACACCTTAGGCGAATGGTGGCCGCTTCTGCTCCCCACCACACCCAAGGCAGCCACTTGTCCCTGTGGCTACTAGCAGCACTGCCTGTCTGTCCCCTTCTCTTCTATCGCGGGAGGGGGAGGAAGTGGTCAGTTCTTCATCTCAGCATCTAATTTTCAGACAGATGAAGATCTCAAACACCGCTGCTGGGGAGGAGGGGGCAGGGAGTGGGTATGGTGTAGATAGGTGCCCAATAGGCCTCCCAGGATGAGTTGTTTGTAAACAGACGGTCTTTGAAGCTGCTGGATGGCTCTCCCTTCCTGAACAAGTCTGTATCCCCCCCTGGGCCCTCCAACCTGGCCTTGCCCAGTGGTGATCTGCCTGCCGCAGTCTGCTTCCCTGGGAGGAAAGACAGCTGGGAGACAAGGTTTGGGTCCCTGTTGGGGCCTGATGGGGTGAGCGGACCTGGCCCACTGGGACTGAGCCTTTTGTGTTCATCTCCTGCACCCACCCCCTACACACACACCCCACTTTGAATTTTCCTGGTTACAGCCCACTGTTCACTGGTTCCTCCTGTAATTCTAGAAAATGACCCCTGTCAAGAGGAACAGAAATGCAAGAAGCAGGGACTTGGGGTAGGTAGCCCAAGGCCTGGGGACGGGATGCCAAGGTTCTAGATAATAGTGGAACTCCAGGATGGGTAAGGAGCTGGGCTGGGCTTCAGATGCAGGGGTGGGGTGGGGAGGGTATCTGGACCTGGGAGCCCTGGCCAAGAATGTATGGTGCTGACAACAAATGGGAACCCGTGGTCAGCAGTTCAAACTTGTGCAAGGTCCCTTTGAGTTGGTACTGACTCGACAGCACTTACCCCCTCCACCAACCAACTACAAGGCCAGCTGAAGGTCCTGCCTAGGGCATCCTGCGCCTCACCAGCAGAGATGTAGTATCGGGTGCCCATGATGGCATGGAAAGGCAGGTCCTGCTGGCTGCTTCACTCCCCCAAGCAGGTACTTCTGTCACCAGCAAACCTAACACTTTGTTACTGAGTCAGTCTTACCTTGGTGACCCTACAGAAACCTTAGGGTTTCTAAGACTGTACATTTTTATGGGAGAAAGCAGCCTCCTCATTCTCCTTAGGAGCGACTGGTGGGTTTGAACCACTGGCCTTGTGGTTAGCAGCCCAACACCCAGCCACCATGCCACCAGCACTCCTTTTCATCAGCACAGTCGGGCAAAATCTACATTTGTTTTCTATTGCTGCAGTCAGAGATTACCGCCACAAATGTAGCAGCTCAAGACACCAATTTATTAAACCACAATTCTGCCGGTCAGCAGTTAATAGGTTCCTTGCTCAGGATCTCATTAGGGGAAAGCTCGGGTACTGAAGCATTCATCTCCAAGCTGGGTCAGATTGTTGTCAGAATTCGGTTCCAGCAGTGGCAGGGCTGAGACCTTTGTTTCCTCCTGGCTTCCTAGTGACCTTGCCGTTCACAGCTACCAGAGCGCCTTCCTACTTCCACAAGGGGCTGCATTTCAGCCCTTGCCACATGGCCCTCTCCATCTCTGAAGCCAGCAACAGAGACTTTTCCCAGAATTCAATTCCTCTCACCCTTCAGACCTTACTGATGTGCTCCATAGAAAACAAGGCCAGATGGGGCTCCAGTTGGGGTTATCCATTTCGGTGTGCCCAGTTTCAGCGCCAGCCAGAGTGAGAATCCCAGCGAGAAGGGGAGAGAAGGAGGGTGAGTCCCCTGGGTTACAGGAGATCCCTGGAGGAGGCTTAATAGGGTCAGACTTGAGATGCCCCATGGAGGAGGTTGGCTGAACAGACTGATATGGTAGCACTGTTGCAGAAGAGCCTTAAATTGATTAGGCCTCAGCCATAGGGACAGGAGGGGTGGGGTGGGGGAATCCAGGTTCCCAGAAGCGTCTGGCTCCAGGTCAGTGACCTCATCAGAGGTTGAGGCGAGCCCGAATCCAAGGGCTGTAAGTGGCCACATTGGTGTAGACCCCTGGGCGATTGGGCAGGGCACAACCTTTGCCCCAGCTCACCACGCCCACCAGGACCCAGCGCCCAGATTGCATGCAGGTCAGGGGTCCCCCGGAGTCTCCCTGTAAGAGAAGGGGGCATTTAGGTCCCAGCCCTCTACGGACGAGGTCAGTCCCAGGGGAGGCGGGGAAAACTTGGGTCCCGGGTTTTCGGAAAGCAGGTGTGAGGCAAGGGAGTGCCGCCCGGAGACCCGAGCACCTGGCAGGCGTCCTTGCCGCCTTCCACATAGCCAGCACACAGGTTTCCCGGCAGCACGATACGCTCCCAGCTTGGCACGTCGGCGCCCAAGTGATAGAGGCGGTCACAGGCACGTGCGGTCAGCAGCGGCACCCTTACTCCCTGCAGGGGTCGCCACTCCGGAAGTGGAACTGAGAGGAGGAGGTGGGGCTCGGGGTTTAGGGCTGGGGACAGAAACCCCGACGTCTCCCTGTACGACTGAGAGAGGAGTCGAGCTCCGGATACTTGAACTGGGTGCCCATGGGGGTTGAGAGCTGGGATTTCGGTCAGAAGGAAATAAGTGGGGAGCCACTCTTTCCTGATCACCCGCGCGCGCCCGGCTGCACCTCACCTCCGGGCCACAGGCTGCCCCATCCGGTGACCCAGCACGGGGTGCCGGACGGCAGGCGGGCGCCGGGTGAGGGTAGGCAGATGGGCTGTATGCGGGCGTTCAGGGCCACAGGGCGACGCAGCTGCAGCAACGCCAGGTCGCCGCGGTCACCATCCTCGGAGTAGTCGGGGGGCAGCAGCACTCGGCGCACGGGCGCCGAGAGCGCGCGGGACGAGGTGGGGCCCAGGCGCAGCGCCCCAAGGCGCACGCGGTATTCCTGCGGCAACGCCCGCCTGCGCGACGGGGGAGACAGCACTCACACCTCAATCCCAGACCTCATCGACGCCACCCCACGCCTCCACTAGGCGGCGCCCCCTACCCGCGCGTCAGGGCCCTGAGGAGTAGAGAGCGCTTTCTGCTGACCTGGGGAAGCAGTGCGCCGCCGTCAGCACCCACTGCGGGGCGACCAAGGAGCCCCCGCACACGTGCACCCCGCGGTGCTGGATGCTCGCCTGCCACGGCCACTCTCCGTCGCGGGCATTCCGGCCCCCCACGATCCGGCTCGACACGCGAGGCTGCCCGCAGTCTGCAGGGGACAATTGGGAGCGAGGGTGGATGGGAGCCTGGATGATGGGGGTGGGCTTGGGCCTCCGAAGGACGGGATTCCTTACCTGCAGACTGTGGAGTCCCTCCAGCTCCTGGAGGAGAAAGCAGGCTGGGCTGGGTTATGGATTTGTTAAATGCCATCGAGTCGGTTCTGACTCATAGCTACCGTGAGGATTATGGGTTTAGCGTCAGATATCCCATGGGGCGGGGGAGGTCAGAGATTAGAGGGAAGGTGGTACACGTTGATGCAGTGACTTCATGCTAGGTTTTGTGCTATGGGTCACCTGCTTTAACCCTCACCAGACCCCTTACACCCACTACACAGACGGGCCCATGCTGCCTGGTGAGCCCAGGATTGCTAGCAGACAGGGTTTGAACCCCTCATGCCAAGATTAGATGTCCCAGAACTTTGGAGGGGAGCCAAACCCAGAAAGGGGTAAGATGGGCGATGGGGGGACCAGGGTCCTTGTAGCCACCGTGTCAGTGTCTGCCTTCACTCACCCAGCATCAGCAGGAGGAGGAGGAGGCCTGAGGTCACCTGCATTCTCGCTTCAAGGCTGAGCTGGGGAGAGTGATGCTGTTCAGGTCTGGAACCAGCCCCAGAGTTCCACAGTCTGCCCTCAGCTTCTGGGGCACAGACCCTGGGTATCCCTCCTGTAGAATATGCAGCTCCCCATTCCCGCTCCACCCTCCACTCAATTCCCATCACTTCACAGCTGACCGACAGTAATCCTGAGGCAGCCCCTGCCCCCTGCTCTCACCCAAGGGCCTGGTGAACTCCCAGCTGACTGGGTCAGGGGAGGGTCTGGGGGCTTAGAAGGGTAGGAGGGGGCGGGAGTCAAGCCAGGGGGTAATTACAGAACGTAGGGCGTGCTTGTGGCTTCACCTGTCCGTCCAGGAACAAAGATGCTTTGAATAGAGGTTATGGAGTGGCAGGAAAGAGATGCCTGGGTTTGTCTAAGGAAGTCTGGCTGGGGCCAAGGTGCCGGAAGTGGGGGGTGGGACCCCGCCAAGAGCTGCGGTCAGGCCAGGGAGCTCTGCCTTGGCAGCTCATCTCTGAATTTGAGCCTGGCTCCTTGAACCTGGCTTCTGAGAGCTCTTGTTTTCTGCTGAGCCCAGACCCCAGGAGATGAGGGAGGGCTGTTTCAAAGCTGGCATCAACCACTTTGGATTTGAGGCAGGAGGTGATCTGACCTTGGGGAACAATCCAAGACAAAGCGAGGCGGAGGCTGCTGGTATAGGGTGAGGCTGAGACTTGGGAACAGGAGCAATGACTGACCTCTCTCAGGACCTGGACTGGGCCCTGTCATTTGTCCTCTGAGATCACACCAGCATCTTGGGCTCCCTGTGGCTTGGGTCATGCACATACAGTGTGCACTGCTCAGAAGGCCCGTGTGGCTCTCTCTGCCCTGGCAATGTTCCCTTTTGTCCCTCAGCCCCTTGCTCTGTCACCTCCTCCTTGGGGACCCTGGAGCTCTCAGCCCAGGCTGTTTTCCCTGCACAAGGCAGGAAGGGGCAGCCTGTGTCCTCAGTGCCCAGAACCGAGCCGGGCGCAGAGCAGCCCTGAGAGTGGGTTTGAGAGGAAGCAAATGAGACCCAGATGTCTCTCTGGAGCAGATGGAGTGGGGGGTCAGCCTTAGGTTCCACTTTCACTGCCCACCACTGTCCATGACCTCAGAGTTGGGCTGCAGCCTGCAGTGTGAGGAAGCAATTGGATCCCCCTCATGACTTAGTTTCCCACACTAGAGGTTGTCATGGGATGACGGAGCTAAGCCTGCAGCGCTCAGAGATAGCACCTGGCATGCTGAAAACCCGAGCAGAGTATCATAAACTTCTAGCTCACGTCCCTGAGGCTCCAGAGCCTGAAGCTACCCCATGTTTGCCTGCCCTTAGAGGACTTTGAAGGAAGCTTGGTGGTGCACCGGCTAAGCACTCACTCAGCTGCTAACGGAAGACTTGATGGTTTGAACCCACCAGAGGCTCCATGGGAGAAAGACCTGCCCATATGCTTCTGTAAATATAGTTATTATTGTTAAGTGACATCCAGTCGTTCAGAATGCAGGGTTTCTTTCCGAGGAGCAGCTGGTGAGCTTGAACCGCCGACCTTTCGGTTCAAACTGACCTCGCAGTCTAGCACATTAACCCACAGTGACTCATCCCCACCAGGTCCCTGACCAGATACCAGGAGCAGCTAGTGTACCCAGCTGCAGGAGGACAGGGGAGGACTGTGGCCTGGGAACAGAGAGGAGTCGCATCTCCATTCGGTGTTGTACATGCTGGTCTTGAAGCTGACCATGACCCAGTTGGCACAGCCCAGTCAAGGAGCCAGCAATGAATGGGTGTGTGGGAGTGGGAAGCAAGGCTAGAGTTTATCTACATGTGGCCAGCTCCTGCTGTGGAGTGGCTGGGTGGAGGGAGAGGGAAGCAGAGGAAATGTTGGGGGCAGACATGTGGGGAGGGGCAAACCATGCATAGTGGGACAGGGACAGGGACACTGAGCATGCTCCCTTGCATGGGGCTCTGGGAGCTCTGACTAGTTGTTACCCTCCTCCAGGCTCCAAGGTCAGTAGAGAGGTGGGAAGGGGATGTTGGTGCTAAGATGCATTTTCTGGAAGAGAAGAAGGGTCTACACGGGTTCTCACCTCGCCTGGGTCTCCCGCCTCCCTGCCTTCCCTCCCCCAGCCCCATACGCCCCGAGACCGCGGGCACACACATCTGGCGCCCCTGTGAAAATGCAGGTTCTGCTTTAGCGGGTCACAGGGGCCACTACAGCCCTGCTGGACTGTGTCCTCATCACTTCACGTACACTGTGGATGCCACCTACCCCCGCCCCCAGTCCACCCTGCAGGGCTTCACCCAAGTCGAGATCAGCGGAGGGACGCTCACTTGTCCGTCCTCCAGAGGGCGATGCTGAGCCGCTTTGCACCCGGCTTTCCAGAGGGCGGGACCGGAAGGGGGGTGTGTGAGTTGGGGGGAGCTGCGCCCCGCACTGTGACTCTCATCCACGTACCTTTCTTATTTTCCCACCACGTCTCTCCCTCACTCGTCCGTGCTTCCTGGGATCACCCTAATAAACCGCCCACACTCCAGCCCACTCCGGGCTTGTCTTTGGGGGAACCATGGTCAGACCAGGCACGTGTGGTATCTCTGGTTGTGTGACCCCAGTGAGCTGGGGGTCCTGACGCGTTGTCCCTACAGTCCCCCAAGCCTCTCGGCCCCTTTCCCTCCCCCGGTCTAGTACTGCCAATCGTCTTCCACAAATCCACCTTTCTGATGGAACTGACCACAAGGGGGCTCTGCCATCAACACCCAAACTCTGAAAATGCAGAGGAGGACAGAGACTAGAGAGGGAGGGGCAGACCTGGCTGGGTGGACTTGGGTGAGGGGAAAGGCGCCCTCAAGGCATGGACTCGAACCTGCTCACACTCAGACATGCTCACATTGTTTATTGCTTAGCAAAGGAGTCAGAAGGGGCTGAATGTAACTCAGCAACACTTTCTCTCTCTGCCTCTGCCAAGACCTGGCCATGGGCCAGCACTATGGCACCCTCACGGGCCTCCGTGGGCTCAGGCTGGCCTCAGGAGCGGGGGCACCCAGAGCAGAGCTGGCATCAGCAGCAAGAAGGGATCTGTCTTGGGGGGGCTTTGGTCCACCAGGCTACGCATCCAGTGGAAGTGCTCACTGACGTTCGTGTAGACACCGGGTCGGTTCGGACGACCACAGCCCAAGCCCCAGCTCACGACTCCAATCTGATACCACACACTGTCCTCTTCGCAGACCAAGGGTCCACCGGAATCACCCTGGGGAGCAGTGTGTGTGAGCCTTGGTGGGCCACCTGGGGCAGTGCAGAGTGAGGGGACAGGCCAGACTGCAGCTGGGCAACCCACTGTGGCCACTGAGCCTCACTTTCTACATCTGCAAAATGGATTAACAGTCTATACCTCCTGGAACTGCTGGGAAGTAAATCCAATTGGTAGGACCCAAGGGGCAGGTGGTACACACATGATCACTAAGGGATGAATTATTCCCAAGAAGCAACCTCAGGGCTGGGGAGGGAGAATGTCAGGGATCAGAGAACCTGGTGCAGACAGGATGGAACCTCACAAAACAGACATCTTGGCCACCGTCTGCATTGCCAGCCTAAACCATATCTACCACATGATGTGGCAGAAATCAACCCTTCCCAGGGCTGCCCTGAGGATTAAATAAAGTACAATCATACACATGGGGGCGGAGGGTGCCAAAGGTCATTGCCCTGAGATAACTCTTTAAACCTTGACCTTTGTCTCTGAGGCCACCATTTAGCTAGCAGATGGACTAACAAAATAAAGAATATTACCCATGGCTACTATGGTTCTTTCAAAAACCATCTCTATGAGACCAAACTGGGAGAAAGAGGAAGCCCTGTTCCTGAGAAGATTTAGGGCCTCAGAAACCTTATGCAGGGTCACTGTGAGTTAGAACCAACTCAACAGCAACATCGTGAGACCACACTGTCCACAATGACTTTACAAACAAAGATGAGAAGGTCAGGGGGCAGGGAAACTAGACAAATTATAAAAACAGAACAAACAGTAGAAATGATGAGAACACTCCTGTGCTGTGAAGAATGTGACCAACATCACCGAGGAGCTTGTGTATAAAGTAATGAAGGCAACCTCAACTTCAGCTTCAATATTCACCAAAAACACACAAATCAAAGGAAAAAGAAAAACTAGGGCTGCAGCGGTTTTCTCATGAAAATTCCAAGGGGTTGGTTGAGGGGTGGAGTTGGGGTGCCTCTCTGACCTGGTTGGGGGTGCTTGGTGGGGGCACTCACAAAGCAGGCGTCTTTGCTTCCATCCCTAATGCCTGCACAAATCATATCTCCCCAGATGATGGAGCGGAAGTTGGGCTGGTAGAACAGAAAGTTACACATGGTGTTGTTTATGATGGAGATCTGGGCTTCCTGGAGGTTGTAGGGGGGCTCCAGATCTGTTGTGGGGGATTAGGAGACAGAGAGAGACAGTCAGCTGAGACTCAGACTATAGGGCTGAGTGGGGGGCACCCACATCCACGGGGTCTGGGGTAGGGCTCTTGTCCCTACTCTTGCCAGCTGGTACCAGCACCTCAGGGGCACTCAGCAATGCCAGTGAACCACCAAGGGTGGACGGGCTGATCCCACTCCACATGAGATTCTATTTCATAATTTGTAAATGTAAGGGTGGCCCCTGACCGAGTCTGGAGTCTGACCCCAAGCATAGTGCAACGAATGCAGTCAAACAGCGAACACCTGCGGCCTCATGGAGTGGCCCCGGACAGCTCCCACCCTCACGTTTACAGTGAGAAAGCAGCTGGGGTACAGGTCTAAGGTGAGCTGGCCACCCTAGCCTAGGTTCCCTGCTGGCCATACACTCTAGGTGGGTATGGAAACTGAGATTTTGGAGGCAGAGTAGACCAGCAGGTGAGGGGAGAATGCTGGGCAGCTGGCAAGAGGCCCTGTGTTACCTGACAACATGAGTGGCCACTCCTGGGCGGGAAGCAGCCCAAGGGGACTGGGGCGGTGCCCTCCCCGAGACCGACCTGTCCCTCAGCCTCACGTTTATGCTCCTTGGTCCTTCCCCAGCCGGTCACCCAGCAGTCGGTCCGGTCAATGAACTCCTTGGTGGAGTCCACCACACAGATGGGCTGGATGTACGTCGTGTAGGTGACGGAGGAAGACAGCTTCAACAGGGCGATGTCATAGGGAGAGTGTCCTTTAAAATCGGAGTTCATCACGATCTTCTCCACCTGGTAACGGTTGAAGTAGGCCCGCAGGTTCAGTATAGAGGGGTAGGAAGACAGCTCACCAAACTGAACACTCCAGTCTGATGGATTCTTGGACCTGGCAGGAGGAGGGGGTGGTCAAGGGTCTCTAGAGGAGACAGCTGACCTCACCTGGGATGAGAGGCAATGGGAAACCACAACTTGCTTGTCTTGTGGTCCAAAGGGCCCCCTGTGAAGTGTTAGGACCCCAGACATGCCACACCCAATTCCAATGGGGGGGCTGTAGAGCCAGAAAAGGCGCGGGGCGTCTCCCCCTGCGAGTCACGGAGCCAGCTTCTGCTCTCATAGTGTCCTGCTGCCGTCAAGTCGGTTCTGACTCATAACAACCTCATATAGGGTTTCTGAGGCTGTAAACCTTTAGGGGAGCAGAAAGCTTCATCCTTCTCCCAGAACTCTGTGGACTTGAACTGCTGACCATGCACTCAGTAGCCCACTGTGTAACCCACTACGTTGCAAGGGCAGAGCCCTCCAGGACACCTAAAGTGGGGCAAGTTCTCCAGGAGACCCCAGTGTGCGCTGCTAACCAGGCTGGGGTCAAAGCAGCTTTCCTGAGCCCCTTCGCCTAGGGTTCAGGTCTTGCTTCTGCCTCAGGTAACTCCTCCATGAATGGCTGCAGGTACCTGCTGGGCTAAATCGGTGGTAGGGGTGGGGGTGGAGTGGGTGTTTACCTCATAAACAAGATAAGCAAAGGCTTACTTGTGTTGCAAAACACGTGAAGCTATTTCCTACTGATTAGTACGTCAGCACAAGTAAGGCTGCTGCTGACGGTGCTCTGTTCCCAGCAAGGATTGGAGGTTTTGATGCTGTAGGAAAAGGCTGTGGGGTTCAGAGAGACAGAGAGGCCAGCCAGACCTAGAAGTGGAATCTTTAATGTGGTGAAATAATGTGGAGCTGTCCACTACAAATTAATATGGAAACACAAGTAAGCCCTTGCTTACCTTGTTTATTTCACCCAACACTGGGTGAAGTGTCTAAGAACGGTGGTACCATTTGTTTCAAAGTAAAGGGACAATATTCAGAGACGTGCATAGGGCCACCAACGGGAACTCAGATGGGCCTGGTCCACCTGCAGACTCACTTTCTGAAGCAGTGCGCCGCGGTGAGAGCCCAGGATCGGCTGAGCAGGCTGGCTCCGCAGAAGTGTCTTTTGTGCAATCGCAGGCTCCCCTGCCACGGCCAGAACCCGCGTTTTGTGTTCTGGCCTCCCACCACGCGCTCGTGGATGTTCCGGTGGCCACAGGGTGCTGGGATGGACAGACAGACACGCGACTGAGCTCAGGGTGTGTGTAGGGGAAGGGCTGCCCCGGGTCGCGGAGGGCCACAGTGACATAGACACAACACGTGATCCTCAGGTTCGCGCCCCTCTCCCTTTCCCCCGTCACCTACTCGAGAGCATTTTCCACTTCTCAGGACCTGGGGGAGAGCAGAGAAGAAGGGTGAGGCGCCCGAACGCCCGAACGCTGGTGCCGCTGCCCCGCCCAGGTGCCCTTCAGCGCGGGTCCTTACTTGCGGTCGGGAGCACCAGGTCCTCATCTAGCGACCTTCTGGGGACTTGAGAAGATGAACCCCCCTGGGTCCTCACGTCCCACCCGAGCTCGCCCAGCCCCCCGAGCCCTACCCAGGACAGCAGCAGCCAGAGCAGCAGCGCGCCCATGGCTTCTTACCGGCGACGTGGCGCCCCCTAGACTTTCTCCGGCTGCAGCCCGGCTGAGACACCCTCTGGGGATGAGGGGGCAGCGGGACCCAGGCCCGACAGCCCTTCCCAGCCTGACTCCCCTGGGCTCTGCCCTGTTTGGGGCCCCCGAGGTCGCACGTGCATTTTGGGTTCCCACTGGGGCTGGGTCCACCAAGCACACCACTTGTTGCACCTCAGGAATGTCTACCCCTTATGTCTCCCTCTCTCTTTTCTGGAACCCCAGGGTCCTGGCTGCCTCCACCCACGATGTCCTCCAGGCCCAGGACAGCCCACAGCTGGGGCCCATCAGGCCCACGAGCAAGTCCCCACTGGTGCCCTTTGGGACACAGTTTTCTGTCAGCTGCTGCCAAAGACAAGATCCTCGACGGGAGTCAGGTGGGGAAGGTGAGGTCCTGACCCCGGACCCTGATCCAGCTGCCCAGGCTGCCCTCTGGTGGTGAAATGTGGAGCTGCCTTTGACAAACTCCCTGGACATAAAGGCAGGCAGTATCCCTGAGTCCTTCATCCCTGGGACCTGTGACTGGTGACTTTTGGGTGGCAGTGCTGGTGGGCTGGACCTGATCAGTGGGGTGTGCCTCCTTACACAGAGTGTGGAGTGAGGGTCCCCCAGCATAAAGCTGGGGTCACCCTCCAGGCAGATGTCCACTCTGTGGGAGCCCTGACCTTAGGTCCAGTCTGAGTCACACATCCTCTGTAGAGCCGGGCAGCAGGAGGAGAGAGGGTGCCCGTGTATGTCTGTGGGGCTGGGGCAGTGATGCTGGCCAAGTGTCTACCCTCTTCCCAGCCACCAAGCACAGAAAGACAGATCATCTGGACATTGGGCATGAGCTCAGCCCAGGGATCCAGGACTGACCTGCAGCCCCAGCCATGATCCTAGGGCCTACCCCCAACCCTCCTGGTGAGAGTTCACTACATAGACAGGCTGGATGTACTTCGTGTAGGTGTAGATGACTGAGGAAGACACCTTCAGCAAGGTGATGTCGTAGGGTGAAGTCCAGAGGAATCTTGGGTTCATCCCAATCCTCTCAACTTGGTAACGGTTCTGATAGGCCTGCAGACTCCAGACGGGTGGGACCGCAGACAGTTCCCCAAATTGGATGCTATATGGTAAGGGGTCAGTGGACCTGGTGGAGGAAGGGCAGTCAGGGGTCTCTGAAGGAGGCGTCTGAGCTCACCCCACAGGCGTAGTCTCCCCTACCACGGCCAGCTCCCCAACTCCACATCCTGGCCTCCACTTTGCTGGTGTGGGTCTTCTGGTGGTCGTAGGGCGCTGGGATGGACAGACAGGGGAATGAGCTTGGGGCGGGGGGACAGGACAAGTCCATCGCTAGCTGGATCCAGACGCGTGGCTAGAAGGGTTTTCCAAGGGTCGCGGAGGGAGACAGTGTTTTAGTGACCCCCTCGCTCAAAACAGGTGACCCACAGACCCGAGCCTCTCCCCCGGTCCCATCACCTATTTGTGAGCATTGCAGGACTTGGGGATGGGCAAAGAAGAAAGGTGAAACACCCTCATGTAGGTCCAGGTGCCCAGCCCAGGTGTCCAGCACCGCAAAGCTCGCGTCTAGGGCTCTTACTTGTGGTGGGTGGCACAGCTGTCTTCAGCACTTTCCTGGACTTCGCTGAGACTCAGAGACCCTCAGGAAGCTGTGTTAGACACTTGTCTAACCTCGTCACTGTGCTCCACACTCAGTGAACAAACTCAGACCCCCACTTCCGTTCTGCTCCACCCTCAGAGCCAGGCTCTGTGTTTCATGATTATGGTGGTCTGGAAGTCTGGTGTGTGTGTGGGAGGGTGCGCAGAGGGGTCATGTAGGCATCTTGGGACCCAAGATGCTCAGATTCTCCCTGCAGTGTATGGACGGCAGCCCATGATCGATGTCATCGTGTCAGATGGACGCCCAGCCCACCCAGTGGCCATAGCGCGTTAGCACGGTGGTCCAGCTTACTGGAGCACTCCAGCTACTTAGAGTTGCACAGCCCGGGGGCATCACCTGGGTGCAGTTGTCCACATCTGTCTAATTCAATGACTTCATCCTCCCAATCTTCCTCCCCAAGCCCAGAGATGCTCTGGGCTCCAGCAGCTGGAGCTGGGTCACTGGCTCGGGGAGTTTACTATGTCAGGGTGCTCTGAGCTGGGTGTGGAGAGGGGAGGTGCTGGAGGGCGACAGGAAGGGGAGGGCACAGTCCTGGCACCCTCCCTAGAACAGCTGACATGAGACAATGGGGTAGCCCTTGAAATATGGCATTCTGTAGCAAAGCATCCACAGCCTCCTAACCTAGAGCCCCCTGCAGGCCCCCACCCGTCCCCTGAAAAGTTAAGGTCCCAGAATGCTGGCTGGCCTGGGGCACCCATCCACACCAACTGACTAGTGCCAGAGCCATTTATGCCTGTGAGTTCTGGTGCTGGAGAAGAATATTAAAGGTACCATGGACTGCCCGAAGAACAAATAAGTTTGTGTTGAAAGAAGTGCAGCCAGAAAGCTTCTTAGAAGCCAAGATGACCGACATCATGTCTCATACTTGAGGTATACTATCAGGAGGGGTCCGTCCCTGGAGAAGGACATTATGCTTGGTAAAGTGGAGGGTCAGCAAAAGAGAGAGACCCCCAGTGAGCTGGATTGGCACAGTGGCAACGATTGTGTAGCAGTAACTGTGTAGCGCTAATTGTGAGGATGGTGCAGTGCTAGGCAGTGTTTCATTCTGTTGTACACAAGCTCGCTATGGGTTGGAACCAACTCGACGGCACCTGCTAGCAATAATAATACTTCATATGTTGGCACGCAGCAGCCACCCAGTCATGGTGGGGTTTGTTGGTGGTGTGTGGTCATGAGGGCTGGGAGGAGGCAGGGACCCAAAGTCCAAGAGTAGCCCGGGGGCCAGCCTGGCTCCTTTCTTCGCATCCCCTCTCCTCTTGATGGAAGAGCTTGATCCCAGAGCACCCAGCTTGTTAGGAGCAGGGCGATCCCCACCTGAGATTTGGCTTTCTCATCTCTCCGTGATCTACCATGACCTGTGGGACCCGTGGGTCACTGTTATTGCAGGACTGTGTATGTGACGTACTCACCTTCGATTTCCCACTCTCGTACCTCTCCCCATGTAGTCCCCCAGCCTTGATCATCCTTCTGCCAACCTTCTATTTGTACATTGCCTGTCCCATCACCCAAGTCACCAAATTCACCAGCCACTCCTCAGACACCCTGTACAGGTTTGCTACCCACTCAACAGCACTACAACAAACCCTCTAGTTAGTGGATTACTTCCTCTTCCCTCCCATCCTAGTAACTATCAAAGAATGTTTCTTTTAGTGTGAAAACCTTTTCTTGGGTTTTTACAATAGTGGTCTCATACAAATTTGATCTTTTGTAATTGATTAATTTCCCTCAGCATAATGTCCTTCAGGTCCATCCATGTATGAAGTGTTTTATAGATTCATTATTCTTTAACATTCCATTGTGTGTATGTACCAAAGGTTTATCTACTTTTCCATTGATGAGTATTTAGGCTGTCTCAATCTTTGCTATAGTGAATAGTGTTATGAAGAAGTGGGTGTGCATACATCTATTCGTGTCACTGTTTTGATTGTACCAAGTAGACGGTGTGCTGGCTCATATGGTAGTTCTATTTCCAACTTTTTAAAGAAAGCCCTTAACGTTTGCACCATTTTACATTCCCCCCAGCAGTGTAGGAGGTCCCAGTCTCTGCACAAGCTCATCAGCTTTGTTATTTTCCGTTTTTTTGAAACTTGCTCTGGTAGTGTAGTGGTTACGAATCGGGCTGCTAACCTCAAGGTCAGCAGTTCAAAACTACCAGTGGTTCTGCAGGAGAAAGATGAGGCTTTCTGCTCCTGTAAAGATTTACAGCCTCGGAAACCCTGTGCAGGGTCATTCTGCTCCTGTAAAGATTTACAGCCTCAGAAACCCTGTGCAGGGTCACTATGAGTGGGAAGCGACTCCACGGCACTTAACAACAACAACAACAGTGATGTTGTTTTAATTTGCATAGCTCTAGTGACTGATGATTACCAGCATTTCTTTGTATTTGTGTTGGCTGCCTGAATGTCTTCTTTGGTGAAGTATCTGTTCATGATGTCTTGTTGTTGTTGTTGTTGTTAAGTGCCATCGAGTCATGATGTCTACCCATTTTTAAATTGGATTGTTCATCTTTTCTTTGGCGAGGTGTTGAAGTTTTTTATAAATTTTAGAGATTAGTCCCTTGTCTGATGTGTCACTGCCAAGTTGTTTTTTGTCTCCATCTGTGGGTTCTTTTTTTCACTCTTTTAGTGAAATCTTTTGATATGTGAGGGTCAGATCTTTAGGAAGTTCCAGTCATCTAGTTTGTGTTTTCTGGTATGCTCCCTAGTGTGTGCTCTTAAATTTGTTCCTGTTCTCTCATTATGATTTTTATAGCTTTAGGTTTTACATTTAGGCCTTTGCTCCATCTTGAGTTCATTTTTAGTATATAGTGTGAGCTATGTGGCTCTGTAGGGTAAGCACTCGATTACAAGATCGGTTTGAGCTGTAAGGTTGGTGGTTCAAACCCACCAGCTGCTCCTCAGAAACCCTATACGGGGTTGCTATGAGTTGGAACCGACTTAATGGCTCTTCCCAACAACAGCCTAGGTCTTGTTTCACTCTTTTACAAATGGATTACAAGCTGTTGTTAATTGCCGTGGAATCGGTTCCAACTCATAGCGATCCTGTATAGGGTTTCTGAGGAATGCTACCCAGCCTCAATGTTAGCAGTCAAATGCTTATCCTACAGCGCCACACCAGGACCCCATGGATCACATAGGTAGTTCTTAGACGAGAATGGGGTTTGAGTCACATACTTAGCCATTGTTATGGTCACAATATATATACAACAACATTTGCCGTTTTAATCATCTTTTTAACTGCCTTCCCTGTCACTCAAGTTAGCATGTGTCTACACTCTACCTGGTGAATAATTCTCCTTCCCTCCCAGCCCTGCCACCACTATAAAATGTTTATAATAGAATGAAAACCTTTTCTTGACTTTTTTTGGTAGTGGTCTCACACAGTGTGTGTCCCCTTGTGACTGCATCATGCCTTCCAGGGTCCTCCATGTTTGGCAGATTCATCATTGTTGTTTTAATGTATAGCTCTACAAGACCAGGAAACAAATATATTGTGTTCTTTTTGGGAATCATATTCCATAATCACTTGCTATTTATTCCCATGTGGGGAGCAATGGGAAGGAGCAAACAGATCTGAAAACAAATCCAGTGGTTCCCTGCACCCCACCCCACCTCCACCCCACCCCGGAAGACTTTAGGAAGGAAAAGCAAAGATTTCGGGATTTTATTGTTTCATCGTCAGGCTTCCCTGCCATTGGTCACCAACTTGAGACGTGAGAGCTTCACATATTTTTCCCTGGTTGTGGACCTTTGCAGTCTCTTTAGAGAACATATCAAGCCCATCCTATTGTGTATTCTTCTGGCTGAGAATTGCATCCCTTAGTCCCCAGAGCAGCCACCTCTGCTGCCTTTTGCACAGACACACCCTACTGACCCTGCTCTGCTCACCAGACCTGACCAGTAGAGTGGGAGGTGGGGGGACTTGGGGGCCTGCTGTGAGCTTTGACCCCCTTTGTGAAGGAGGCGGCTGCCAGCCAGCAGCTCTCTTCCAGGGGTGCTTTTGGAGGCCCCATGGTTGGTGGTGTCTGGGTTCAGGCAGGGCTGGTGACTAGAGGTTTAGCTGTGGCCTCCCTAAGAATTCGGGTGTTTTCATCAACGTCAGCTTCTACACCTCATGGAGCGTCAGTGGAACCCAGAACTCAGCCCTGGACTGCTGAGGGACATGCTCCTGCCTCAGGGGCCTGTTGCCATATCCTAAGCCAGGCTCTTCTCTGCTCCCTGTTGGCCACTCAGTTGTTCAGGGACCCTCTCTGGGCTCACTCCTGTTCCCCTGAACTCTAACGCCCATCCACCTGAAGGCCAGTTTCAGGGATGACTGTGGTGGTTTCTGGGACCCTTGGAGGCAAGGTTTCCAGCTAGCAGCATTGCCATCTGTCCCTTTGTGGGTGGTCTGTTAGTCTCCGGAGGATAAAGAGGAGTCTAGCAGACTCACTTTCATCCTGTGACCAGAAGGCCTGTGTCCGTGGGGTCTTAGCACCCCTTGGGATCTAACAGCTGGAAAGTAGGCCCTGGTCATGTACGTCTGTGGATGACCACAGCAGCCCAGACAGGGACACAGAATGGGAGAAGCAGGCCTTGCCCAAGCCCACTTTCCTTGCAACAGCCCCTTTGAGCCTTCTGTTGGGCCTTTCCCTGGAACAATCAACTGCTGAGACTAAATCCTTGCTCCCCTGCCTCTTGCCTGGGGTCCTGGTCAACCTGGGATCAGGGAAGGTGTGGACAGGGAGGGGAAAGCAACCTTTTTAAGTCACTAGGAGGGCTGGGTTCAGTCCCAAAGTCGTGGTCAGATTTAAAAGTAAATTCTCAAGTTCAGGCTGCGATCAATCTGGGGTCATGAGCAGGGCTGGTGGCCAGTCCCTGGGTGCCCGGTCCAAGCTCATGCTCAATGTCCAGATGGTCTGTCTTTCTGTGCTGGGTGGCTGGGAAGGGGTAGACACTTGGCCAGCATCACTGGCCCAGCCCCACAGGCACACACGGGCACCCTCTCTCCTCCTGCTGCCCAGCTCTACAGAAGACGTGTGACTCAGGGCTCCCACAGATTGGACATCTGCCTGGAGGGTGACCCCAACTTCATGCTGGGGCACCCTCACTCCACACTCTATGTAAGGTGGTACACCCCACTGAGCAGGTCCAGCTCACCAGCACTCCCACCCAAAAGTCACCAGTCACCAGACACAGGTACCAGGGATGAAGGACTCAGGGGTACTGTCTCCCTTTATGCCCAGGGAGTTTGTCAAAGGCAGCTCCACATTTCACCACCAGAGGGCAGCCTGGGCAGCTGGATCAGGGTCCGGGGGGTCAGGACCTCACCTTCCCCACCTGACTCCCGTCGAGGATCTTGTCTTTGGCAGCAGCTGACAGAAAACTGTGTCCCAAAGGGCACCAGTGGGGACTTGCTCGTGGGCCTGCTGGCCCCAGCTGTGGGCGGTCCTGGTCTTGGAGAGTATAGTGGGTGGAGGCAGCCAGGACCCTGGGGTTCCAGGGAAGAGAGAGGTCATTTCTGACGGGTGATGAGTATGCTTGGTGGACCGAGTCCCAGTGGGATCTCAGAAAGGGCACGTGTGATTTCGGGGGTCCCCAAACAGCGTCGAACCCAGGGAGGTCGTCAGGCTGTGAGGGGCTGACGAGCCCAGGATTCCACTGCCCTCTTGCCCCCAGAGGGCGCCCCAGTGGGGCAGCAGCGATAGGAAGCCTAGGGGGCGCCCGGTGACTGAGAGGAGTCATGGGCGCGCCGCTGTTGTGGCTGCTGCTGTCCCCAGCGTGGCTCGGGGGGCTTCATGAGCTCGGGTGGGATGTGAGGACTCAGGGGGAGTCGCAGGATGGGGAAGTGATGTTCCCGACCCCAAGTCCCGGGAAGTGGGATATGCTTACGAGTAGGTGATGGAGCCGGCAGGGATGAGTGTTCGGGGGAGATCTGCCCACCACTTGTTGGGGGGGTAGGGAAATTCCGTGGTCACATCACTGTCTCCCTCCGCGACCCCGGGCAACCTCTCCCCTCCACACAACTTGAGCTCAGCCAGGTGTCCGCGTGTCCGTCTGTCCATCCCAGCACCCTGCGGTCAAACAAAAATCCCCACGCGCATAGTGGGAGGCCAGGACGCGGAGTTGGGGAGCTGGCCGTGGCAGGGAAGCCTACGCCTGTGGGGCACCCACATCTGCGGAGTCAGCCTGCTCAACCGCCGCTGGGTGCTAACGGCCGCGCACTGCTTCCAAGAGTGAGTCCGGGGGCGGCGGGGTGCTGTCGAGCCGGAGCTTGCGAGCCCCAGGCCTGGCTGCAATCCCTTCCACCTGAGTTCTCATTGGCACCCCTGGAGGGAACCCTATTGAGCGTTTTCTAGAATTTTCTTCCAGAACATTCCAACGCACAACTGTGGATAATGCCCTTTTAGTTTGAAATAAAGGGACCGCCATCTTTTTCCTTACCCATTCACACCCAGGCACCTGTGGTACAGGTGTGGGAGGGGTTCCCTGAGGGAGAGGAGAGCTGCTTTGACTCTAGCCTGGTTAGCAGTTCACATTGGGGTCCCCGGGAGGACTCTCTCCAGTTTAGGTGTGCGGTAGGTGTTCTGTAGGATAAGCACTGTACTGCTAACGGCAAAGTCAGTGGTTCAAACCCACCAGCTGTTCCTCAGAAACCCTATGTAGGGATACTGTGAGTGGGAACAAATCTAAGGCCCTTAGCAACAACCACAGAGTGCTCTTTGAAGCAGAGAATGGCTGAGTGACTCTCTGGGGAGGCTCCCACCTCCTGCTCTGACTTTGCAGCCCCAGGACAGGAGTTGGGTGTGGTCTCTCTGGGCTATTTACCACTTCACAGGGGGCCCTTTGGGACACAGGAATTCTCCTTGAAGGGGCCTTGTCAGACACAGGACAAGCAAGTGGTTTCCCTGCTGTCCTGGGGTGAGCACCCAGGTAAGCTCAGATGCCTCCTTCAGAGATCCCTGACTGCCCCTCCCCCGCCAGGTCCACTGACCCCTTTCCATATAGCATCCAGTTTGGGGAACTGTCTGCAGTCCCACCCATCTGGAGTCTGCAGGCCTATCAGAACCGTTACCAAGTTGAGAGGATTGTGATGAACCCAAGATTCCTCTGGACTTCACCTTATGACATCGCCCTGCTGAAGGTGTCTTCCTTGGTCACCTACACGAAGTACATCCAGCCCATCTGTGTGGTGAATGCCACTGAGGCGTTCCACAACCGGACCGACTGCTGGGTGACCGGCTGGGGGGACATCCAGGAGAACATCGGTAAGGCTGGGGGACAGGCAGGTCTCTGGGGGAGGGGGGAACCATCCCAGCCCGCTTGTTCACCCACTTCCACCCAGCAGCACCCACTGGGATTGTTAGACAACCCCTGGCCTCTTTCTGGCCACCCAGTCTCCCCTCACCTGCTGGTCTGCTCGCCCTCCACCTACACGGGCAGGACTTTCTGGACCAAGGTCTTAATTCCAGCTCCTGGCCAGAGCCTGTGATCAGCAGGGAGCCTTGGTGAGGGCAGCCACCTCAACTCAGGCCTGCACCCCAACCTGTTCTCTTAGTAAACGTGAGGATGGGAAACCGAGTCTCAGGTGGAGTGCGACTGGCCTGTCTGCCCTTGGTGGTTCGGTAATGTTGCTGAGTACCTCGGAGATGCTGGTGCTGGCAAGAGTGAAGACAAGAGCCCTGTCCAGGGCCTTGTGGGTGCCCCCAGCCAGCTTGGCAGCCTGAGTCTCAGCTGACTGTCTCTCTCTGTCTCCTAATCCTCCTCCCCGCCAACAGAGCTGGCGGCCCCCTACAACCTCCAGGAAGTCCAGATCTCCATCATAAACAACACCATGTGTAACCACCTGTTCAAAGAGCCCGATTTCCGCTACAACATCTTCGGAGACATGGTTTGTGCTGGCGAAGCAGAAGGTGGCAAAGATGCCTGTCTTGTGAGTGTCCCCCCACCCCCAGCAGGGCCTCTGGATCCGGACACCCCCCAGTGCTACTCACGCCACAGAGCTGCTTATTGGAAAGCAGTTCAGCTCTTACTGACCCTGTGCGTACCATGTACCCCTGGGATCCCACAGACTGGATTCCACTCCCCTCCAGTCCCGGAAGGTACAGATTAGTGTGCCACTTTATAGATACAGAAAGTGAGGCTCCGTCACTGTAGCTGGTTGTTCAGCTGCACAGCCCCCCACCCCCACTGTCCAGCCTGTCCCCTGGCACTGCACTGTCCCGAGGTGCCCCCACCTGCACTCACACACACTACCCCACTCCTCAGGGTGACTCAGGCGGGCCCTTGGTCTGTGAAGAGAACAGTGTGTGGTATCAGGTCGGAGTCGTGAGCTGGGGCGTGGGCTGCGGTCGCCCGAACCGACCTGGCGTCTACACGAACGTCAGTGAGCACTTCCCCTGGATCAAGAGGGTTATGGCTCACGGCATCCCCAGGACAGACCCCTCCTCACTCCTGCTGCTGGCTCTGCCTTGGGTGCCCGTGCTCCTGTGCCTGGCCTGAGTGGGCAGAGCCCAGTGTGGGTGTCATTGTGCCAGCTCACCACCCAGGGCTAGGGGCAGCCATGGCCAGACCCTGGCTGAGCGGGGCTCGGGCCTTTCTATACCCTTTGCTAATAAACATTTAAACATGTTTGAGTTGTGAATCTTGTGTGGCGCTGTAGGATACAGCACTCTGCACCACAAGTTGGTTTGAACCACAAGGTTGATGGTTCAAACTCACTAGCCGCTATGCTCCTTGGAAACCCTGTTCAGGGTTGTTGTGAGTTGGAAGCGACTCAGTGGTACTGACCACAACAATAATGAATTGATGACTCCTTCCCCACACTCAAGTCCCTTCAAGCAGCCTCTCCCTCCCTCCCTATCCCTGTCTGCATGCTTCCAGAAAGTGTGGAGTTCAGGAGAATTTGAGATTCTCTTCTGCGTTTTCTCTTTTGACCAAGATTCTTCCGTGGAATCTTTTGTCTCTTGACAAAGGAGGAAGCTATTCATGGAGACAATTAGCTTGAAATCCACATTTACCTTGGTCTCCTGTACTTGTTTTTTTCATCTAAATCTGGCAGTCCTACACCCAACTCCCAATCGGGATGTGAACCTGAAGCTCAGCAGTTCGAAACTACCAGCTGTTCCGAGGGAGAAAGATGAGGCTTTCTGCTCCGGTAAAGTTTTACAGTCTCGGAAACCCTGTACAGGGTCGCTATGAGTCGAAACTGACTCCAAGGCACATAACCACCACACCCAACTCCAAGAACTCTGGTACTGTAGTGGTTATGAATCGGGCTGCTAATCTCAGTCAGCAGTTCAAAACTACCAGCCATTCCGCAAGAGAGAGATGAGGCTTCTGCTTCCGTAAAGATTTAGAGCCTCGGAAACCCTATACAGGGTCGCTGTAAGTCGGCACTGACTCCACGGCACACAACAACAACAACAACAACACCCAACTCCAGGTCCTTGTGGTCCAGTGCTTAGGGGTCCTTCCCTCTAGTTCTATGAATGTTTCCAGTGCCCCTATGTCTGTTCCCACCCGCACACTCCCATCCCCTTAAGAAAGACACCCACAGGCCTTTGAGTAACTGTCTTCACTGGTGGAGACTCAGGTTGGCGGCAGACTCAGACCCCTTGGTGATAGGCTGCTAGGCCCCACCCAACCCACCAGGAGGCCTCGTGTGTGCCCAGAAACGCCCCTCCCTGTGTTCTCATCTGTCTGCAGACCAGATCCACAGGGGGGCGAGTCACTGCATGAGGAAGACCCCTAGACATTACTGGCTGAATGAATGAATGAATGAATGAGTGCATCCAGGGCTTGAGGTCTGGGCCAGAGGGAGATGCGAGGAAGGACAGGTCTGCAGAGCCGCAGCAGGTACTGCTAGACCTACCTCTCAGAGCCCAGGCCACCTTGAGGGGCAGACAGAGACTCACTCTGGGGGTAGGCAGAAGGAGCCCCCCAGGAATCATGGAGAGAGACCCTGACATTCAGCACTTCTTGTCAGGGACCAAGGGGAACCCTATCTTGATTTTCTCAAGGCATGTGATGTCTTCCAGGGCCTGGGATGGAAGCTGAGGCCCTGCAGTGTGGCCTCCTACCCTGTGGCCCAGATGTGGACACTCAGTACCTGGACCTTGTAGCAGGTGGTCTGTTTGCATTGGTCCCTTTGAAGGCAGTGCGGGCTCTGGCCTTCATACTGCTCGTGTGGACTCAGGTGTGCCCTCGGACACTCTGTCTCCTGTTTAGTCCTCCTGCTTGGCCCCTGGGGCAGGCTTCTTCCAAGGGGATCCCGGAGGGCTGAGTGCTTTGACTGACCAGGAACCTGCTGTCAGCCAAGTGGGTCTGGAGCTGGCACAGAGACTTGATATGCCCTGGATCTACCAGGGTGTCTTCCCACCCTGGCCTCCTCACCCAGGATCCAGCCAAGGAGCGCCGGGCTAGCATGGCCTGTCCTCAGTCTGCTCAGGCTCTGATACTAGGTCGCAATGCCACTGTGGGCTGGGCCTCGAGCTGCACTCAGAGAAGCTGGGCAAAGTCAAGCTGTTTTCACCTGATGCAGAATCTGCCAGAACACCGGAAGGTTGACGAGGGTGGAGAGTCCAGTGTGGAGGTCAATCCCAAGGAGAGGACAGTGGCTGGAAAGGCCTCAGGAGATTTTTGGGGTGTGTGGACAGAGGGGTTGCCCTGGGAGAGAACTTGAGGAGTCAGGTGGTTATGCCATAACTCCGCTGGCCCAGCTCCCAGGGAATATGGCAGGAAAGGTGTCAGGTGGGGGAGTTTGCGTGGTTTCCTATGTCATGCAATTGGGAGTCCCCGGGTGTGTGTGTGTGTGTATGCTCAGCTGTTAACCGAAAGCTTGGGGTCCACGCGGCTGTGCATTGTGGAGAAAGGACTGGTCATATGCTCTGGAAAGCAGTCATGGGAAACCCTATGGGGCACAGCTCTCCTCTGACACACACGGGCTACCATCAGTCAGAGTCAATTTGATGACCACAGGCTTTCTGCTGCTTAGATGCAGTCGTGTGGAAGCAGGTGGAGGGTGGGCTCTGGTGGGCTGCATGTCCATTGCAAGAGAGAAAAGACAAGAACATCTGGCAGCCAGGTGCTCCCTGCGCACAGCCCTGCTGGGCAGTAGACATGTCTCCCAGTGCAGAAAATTATATGGAGGTAAAAATTGTCCTTGTGGGGTGAACCTCGGCTAGAACGGAGATGTTGTCCTGTGTCAGGCTCCTCTGGCTGTCTCCTTTGCTCCCCTCTTCAGGATTTGTCTAATATCCTGACTGAAAAGTCCAGTTGTCACCCTGTCCAGCCGGCCCGCTGACGGTCCTAATGTTGCTCTCTAAAAGCCCTGCTACAGTCCTCCCTCTTGCGAGTTTCAGGGACCAGATGCGGGAGACGGCATGAGCAGGACTCTGGAGAGCAGCATGGCTGGCCGCCATCTCTGATCAGGGCACTACTGTGTTTCCTGTTGGTGTTGTTAAGCGTTGTTGAGTAGGTTCCAATTCATAATGACGTTTACGATGGCAGTTACTGAACCATTTTGCATTGATTGAAGCCTTGACACACAGACACACACAGTAGGAAAGGGATAAGTACAAGCAGCCTAGGAAGGCCAGGGCCTACCCTACGCGGAGGGCCCTCCCCTCAGAGGATGCCCTGAGTTAGGAAGGGACCTTGCTGGTGAAATGGTTAAGAGGGTTAAGCACAGCTGCTAACTGAAACGTTTCCCCAGCAGCTCTGTAGGGAAAGACAGGGCGACTTCCTTCCAAGATACCTGGCCATCTGCTCACACAGACAACAGCCTGCTAAGCCGTACCAGGACGTTCTACTCTGCTACATGAACTCTCTCTGAGCCAAAACTCAGCAGTGCTACCCAGCAGCAACCACCACCTACTGAACTGTGAGCCAATAACTTCCCACAGTCCTTTGAGACACCCACTTGTGGTATTTCCTGTTACAGCAGCCCACAGTAAGCGTGACAACCAGCCTCACCAGCTGCGCCTGTTGACTCAGTCCTGGAGTGCACCATGAGCCAGGGTGTGGGAGATGGGACAGAGGATCTGACTTACCATGTTGTTGTTTTCACTGTATAAAATAGTGATTTCCTTGTAGAAAACTTATAAAATCAAGAGAACCAAAACAAAACAGAATCATCCTGCAGCTCACCCCTCCCACAGAGAGACACGCACACCTCTGGGAGCGCAGGTATCTCCTTATGAACAGCCCTCCTGAGGACCACACTGCGTCTACGCGAATGGTCACCCGTGTTCCATTTACAACCCACGTCCCTCAGACCCAGAAGTGATGGATGTTGAAGATGACCCCACAAGGAGGGACTCCAGTTCTGCGCCCCTGTGTCTCCCCATGTGAAGAGTTGAGACCACTCTGCTTCTGAGTTACGGGGCTTTCAGAACTTGCCCTGGGGAGCCCTCTCCCTCTCCAATGCCTGGGACTTCCTGGCCATCTACCACTTCTCTCCTTCTTAGGGGGCATCTCCGCTGGAGAAGGACATCATATTTGGTAAGGTAAAGGGTCAGAGAAAAAGAGGAAGACCCCCCAATGAGATGGATTGGCAAAGTGGCAGCATCAATGGGCTCAAGCGTGGCAACAATTGTGAGGTTGGCCCAGGACTGGGCAGTGTTTTGTTCGGTTGTGTATAGTGTCGCTATGAGTTGGTACTGACTCGATGGCACCTAACAACAACAACAACAACAACAAGGGACTATTGCTCGTGAGCGAATTCCTTCATAGGGTTGCTGGCTGCCTGAATGGCTTCCTTGGTGTTCTATTCTCTGTTGTTGTTGTTAAGTGCCGTTGAGTCGGTTCCAACCCATAATGACCCTGCATAAGGTTTTCGAGGAGCGGCTGGTGGGCTTGAACTGCTGACCTTGCAGTTTAAAGCGACTTTGCAGTTCAGCGTATTGACCCACAGCGCCACACTAGGACTCTGCACATGTTGTCCGACCGTTTTTAATGAGATTATTTGTCATTTTGTTGAGGTGTTGAAGTATACATTTTGGAGAGTAGTGTTTTACCTGATATGTCATTGCCAAGTATTTATTTCCCAGTCTGTGAGTCATCTTGTGATTCTTTCAGTGAAATCCTTTGACACACATAGTGTCTAACTTTTAGGAGGTCCTAGTCATCCGCTTTGTCTTATATTTCTGTGTTTTCAGTTATGTTTGATAACACATTTATGCCATGGATCAGACTTCCTAAGCTTGTCCCTATTTTCTCATTGATGAGCTGTGTAGTTCAAGGTTTTACATTTAGGTCTTTAATTCACATGGAGTTCATTTTTGCATATGGTGTGAGACATGGGTCTTGTTTCATTTTTCTGTAAATAGGATTTCCAATTTTGCCAGCACCGTTTACTGAAGAGACTGTCTCTTCCCCATTTAATGCATTTTGGGCTTTTGTGAAAGATTAACTGATCGTAGGTGGATGGATTTACTTCTGGATTCTCAATTCTGCTCCATGAATCGATGTGTCTTTTGTGGTACCAGTACCAGGCTGTT